AGCACCTGCAGTTCCTACTATCTCTTTATTTAGTCTGGTGTCCTTGCACAGGCAAATGGGCATCACCAGAAACATGTAGCCATCATTCAGCTCTTCCCAGAAGTGGTGTGTTCAGGAGATGTCAATGAGAGGTTTGCTACAAAACACTTTGGGAGAACAGCTGTTTCAGTTTTTCAGCTGTCACAGGAGCTCCTCAGGAGGGTCCTTCAGATGGTGGCAATAGCTGAATTAGGTAATGCCTCCTCACAAGCTAACCCCAAACTGAACTCTAAACCATACCAAATAACCACAACTCCTGAAAACCATAAACCTAGCCATGTGACTTCCAGAAAGTCCAAGCAGTTCAATAATCTATCAACTTGGACAGTTCACTTAGCTCATAACATATCATTTCCAAAAAAGTGGTTTTGAAAGATACCTGTCCAATAGTGTCCTTTCAATGAACTTTAATAAAAAGGTCTGGGTTCCACCTCAATACTTCAAATGAACAAATTTTCATAATCATTTGGACACAAGCCTTTAAGGAAGTGCATTCATAAAGGAGTAACTGAGTCATCCATTTCAAACAAACTGGGTTTTTTATAGGGATAGTAGGAACTGCAGATGCTGGAGAATCCGAGACAACAAGGTGCAGGGCTGGATGAACACAGCAGGCCAAGCAGCAGGTTTTTTATAGCTCTCTTATGAGAAAAAGTCCCTTGAAACAAAAATTTCATCTAGTTCTAGAAAAAGGTACATCAGCAACTTTCAAGTGTATTGCCAAGGAGATTGTTATTTGTAAAATATAAAAGTCACAATTAGAATTCAATCAGAAATGCGCTGTTAATGAATTCTCCTTTCGCATAAATGGTAAAGAGCCTGGAAAAACAAATCATTAAACTCCTAGATTGGAATTTTTAAAAATTAGAAATAAGGATTTTAGTGAACAATGAATACTGACTTAAAAAAATAAAATTTGTTTTTGCTCTCCTCGAACCAATTCCCTTGGACACAAAAGCAACAGATAGGCTATTGCAACACCACACTCAAGATTCCTACTAAGCTGTATTCCAAAACAATGAATAATTATAAACCATTATCCCACTATTAGCGCACAAAGGTTGCATTCCTGACTGGTCCCACAAAGTCAAACTGTCATATTCCTTATCATTAAAAAAGCCGAGGAACGTCTTCCTTTTCCAACGCCTCCCTGCCATAAGGAGGAATGTCACACCATAACGTTAGTCCTGCAACAGCATCAACTCTGAGGTTTCTAGGATCCAGGAGGGGCTCATAAACTTGCCACTATAACATAAGCTCATATATCTCAAGCATTGCCCTCCAGCCTATCTGGTAGGGGGAGTCCCTAGCCATAGACTGACTAAATGGGATAACCAGGCCTGGGTGCCTAGCGTATAAATAGAGCGTAAGAGTAGGGAAGTCTTACTGCAACTGTACAAGGTGCTGATGAGAGTTCTGTCAGCAGCTTTGGTCCCCTTCTTGAAGGGAAGGTATCATTTCATTGAAGTCGGTTCAGAGAAGGTTCACCAGTATGATCCCTGGTATGGAGAGGTCATGTTATGAGCAAAGGTTAAACAGATTGGGATTCGACTCACTAGAGTTTAGAAGAACAAGAGGTGATCTCATTGAAACATACAGGATTTTTAAGAGGCTTGACAGGGTAAATGCTAGGATGATGTTTCTGCTAATGGGAGAGTCCAGGACCAGAGGGCATAGTCCCAAAATAAAGAGGTGCCAATTTAAGACTGAGATGTTGAGGAATTTCTTCTGTCAGAGGGCTGAGAGTGTTTGGAACTCCTTGCCACAGAGAGCTGTGGGGACAGAGTTCTTGCGCATATTTAAGATTAAGATAGATAGAAAGGTTCTTGATCAAGGGTAATCGAGGGTTACAGGGAAAGGGCAGGAAAGTGGATATGAGGAATGTCAGATCAACCGAGATTCTATTGAATGGTGGAGCAGGCTTGAGGGGCCAAACTGTCTGTTCCTGTACCTATTAGAGATGGTGTTATGGTCTTATAAACAATGCAGCACGAACATAAAACAGAAAGGACTGAAACTGAACTTCACCCGTAGTCCTACTTAGGCTCAATGCCAATCTCACTCAATGGAACGTAAAACAAGCAAACGACTTATTATACTGTCATCCTATTTTGTATCGCTAATTAAAACAACTTCAACTCCTCAGACTTTAATTCATGGTTTTATATGCAGGGAAAACGATCATTGCTTCAGAGATGCAATGAATCTAGAATTTTCAAATTATCTTCACTTCCATAACTATTTCATTTCCAGTGATGTGCAGAGATGGACAGAATGCCAATAGGAATGTTCTGAAGACAGGGGGGATGAAATGTGCAAGCAACTGTTAATCTGCCTTACCTCCTGAAGCAAATTTCATCAGGGTGTCCAGTTTGTTGATGTTCAATAATGAGAGTGCATAGGCTGTTATTGCCACAGAGTATGGTCTCTTCAGATTATTAAATCGATTGCCCAGGTAGTGTCCTGCTTTTTGGACGCTGTCTTCATAACTCTGAAATTAATACATCAAAATTAAATCAAAAAGCTTTCAAATGGTGTTTCATCAAGTATCATGAGGTGACACACTCTGGCCATTGTGCAATAGCTACTAAATAGGCAAAATCAGTTCCATCTTTTATCCAGGTCTTCTTGGGTTTTGAATGAATGTCAAATTCTCAAAGGCATGAAGTTTCCTCCCAAATAATAGAATTCTTCACATTCAAAAGAATTTTTAAAATGGAGACTGTAGTGATTATAATGAGGTCAGCCAGGTGGACCTCATAGAAACCAAGTTGCCTAACTGGGGCTGTTAACCTGGTCCAATCAGGGAGCCCTGGCTCATAGATATAAACGGGAGGGTCAGCCATCTCATTCACTCTGAGATCTGGCTCCGAGGGAACTGGATCAGTGTCAAGGGCTTTCCCCATGTAAATAAAGGGCGACTTGGTTGCGGGATACCAAACTCTGTGGAGTTATTTCACTGCAACAAGAGTGGGATTAGTGATGTAACCATGTGAAAGCACCTACTAGCTGAAGCACAACAGGACTTCACACAGGAACTGACATTATCGTTGGAAAATGTGGCAAGTGCAGCATATGAGTTGCAGGCTAATCCCAAGTTCCCTGATTGGGGCTGTTAATCTGGTCCAATCAGGGAGCCCTGGCTGACAGATATAAACAGGAGGGTCAGAAGGAGCTGGATCAATGTCAAGGATTCTCCACGTGTAAATAAAGGGTAACGTGGTGATGGGATAGTAGCCTCTGTGGAGTTATTTCAGACACATAGCAAGGATGAAAAATATGTCAATTGAAGTTGGAGAGCATGATATTTTTTGGGAATATAGCTTTAAACTAATCTTATGCCTTTGTGTTCATGTGGCTACAGCAGAGGAGGTGAATCATATGCACTGAACAGTATGGAATTGCCAAAGCTTCATTTCACGTTTTGCAAGGTTGCGCCTCTAAGTCCGCATTGTAAAACCACGGACGATATCCTGTTCTATCTGACTGCTGCCAATCCAAATGACCTGGCCTTTCAGTTTCACCAGCATCTCATAATCTATCCACTGCTACTGATCACAGTCCTTTCTCTAATCACCTCTCCTAACTGCCAACCTTTGAACTTCCTGCTGGCCCTGAAGTCACTCCTGCTGCTGATTTATCCAGCCAAGCATCTTGTGTGGCTGTCAACGGGGTTGGACATGTTGCTGTGTGGCATTGAACTACATAAATGTCCATGTGCCAGCAGTGTTTGCAACAAACACACTGCAACTGCTTCAACCAAAAAGGCTCTTTCTCAGAGTCTAAGGGGATTAATCCTCAGACAGATCAAGTGAGACAGCCTTCAGTTCGGGTGGGGTTCCCGCACGGTTAGTCAAGGTAGGATCTGCTACTGGTACCAGGGCTTGGACCCAGTCTGTTGTCCACTTGGGGTGCTAGAGTCAAGGGATCAGTCCCTCTATATTCCAAGGATTAGGTCCCAGTGAGTCCTGTAGGCCTAGTGCACACAGTCTGGGGATTCACAGTCAGTCAGTCAGGGAACTACGCAGACATCAGTCAGGGCTTATAAACTTCTATAAGGTCACCCCTCAGCCTCTGACACTGCAGGGAAAATAGCCCCAGCCTATGCAGCCTCTCCCTGTAGCTCAAACCCTCCAACCCTGGCAACGTCCTTGTAAATCTTTTCTGAACCCTTTCTAGTTGCACAACATCCTTCCTACAGCAGGGACTGTCCAAGTCAGTGATGGGGTGGGCTACAGTCAATCCCAGGGATCAGCCCAATGACCGTCAAAGATGGTTACCAGGAATCATTGCTGTGGTTAGGAAAATGGGGACACGAATTGTTTGGATTGGAGGTTGGGACGCAGAGGGAACACGAATTGTAAAGGGGTGGGAAAACGCAAGATAGGAGGGTAGTGGTGGAGGGGAGATGATAGTGCATTGGAGGACATAGGTTACTGCAGCAGGTGCTCATCGACAGTCACAACCACCCTGGCTTCATCAGGGAGACAGTACAGCATGATGGTTGGTATGGCTTAGCTGTAGCCCACACTGGGCACTGGGGGAAGAGTGGCACTCCAACAGATGGGGTTCTAAGATGGAATGATGCCAAGGATGGGCAGCCTGTGCAGTTTGGTTCTGAAACGTTAGTACATTTACAAATGAGCATTTGTGTTTGCAATGAAGAGTCAGCCATGCCACTTATGTGGAGTGGCAGGTGGAGTTGAATTTAGATAAATGTGAGGTGCTGCATTTTGGAAAGGTAAATCAGGACAGCACTTATACACTTAATGGTAAGGTCCTGGGGAGTGTTGCTGAACAAAGAGACCTTGGAGTGCAGGTTCATAATTCCTTGGAAGTAGAGTCACAGGTAGACAGGGCGGTGAAGAAGTTGTTTGGTATATTTACCTTTATTGGTCAGTGCCTTGAGTATAAGGGTTGGGAGGTCATATTGCAGCTGTACAGGACACTGGTTAAGCCCAATTTGGAACACTGCATGCAATTCTGGACTCCCTGCTATAGGAAGGATATTGTGAAACTTGAAAGAGTTCAGAAAAGATTTACAAGGATGTTGCCAGGATTGGAGGGTTTGAGCTACAGGGAGAGTCTGAATAGGCTGGGGCTATTTTCCCTGCAGTGTCAGAGGCTGAGGGGTGACCTTATAGAAATTTATAAAATCATAAGTAGGGTGAATAACCAATATCTTTTTCCTGGGGGAGGGGAGTCCAAAACTAGAGGGCATAGGTTTAAAGTGAGAGGGGAAGGATTTAAAAGGGACCTAAGGGGGCAACATTTTCACACAGAGGGTGGGGCGTGTATGGAATGAGCTGCCAGAGGAAGTGGTGGAGGCTGGTACAATTACAACATTTAGAAGGCATTTGGATCGGGATATGAATAGGAAGGATTTAGAGGGATATGGGCCAACTGCTGGCAAATAGGACTAGATTAATTTAGGATATCTGGTCGGAATGGATGGGTTGGACCAAAGGGTCAGTTTCCATGCCGCACAGCTCTATCACTCTATGCCTCTATGTATCCCTTGTGAATTTGCCCTTTCACTATTTGCATGATGAAAGGCAACTCCTGGCCGAGAGCACTTGGCCTGGTGCACAGCCGGTCTTCAAAAATGGCACCAGTGCTGGGAATTCTGGGAGGTCCCCACTGTGGCGAGTAACCTTATGTTCTGCCTGGGTGGGACAGTGGGGTACCAGCAGGACACCTTGGAGAGGTTGTGCTTTGGTAATGAGGCGAGCTTCAGAGAAAGCCACGAGAAAGACACTAGGGATCACAGAGAGAAACCTTCTGTGAAACTTGCCAAGACTGACACTGATTTCTGTAAAACATCACCCCAATTCTCTGAATTAAAATATCACCTCAACGTCTTGAGCACTAAAAGATAAAGTCATCATAGCTTACCAGATCTAGCTTACCAGATAGAGCTGCTCTCTCATTAAAGAAAGAGACAACTGGTGATGGTTTAACCTGAGGGTCACTATGCCTCAAGCAAGCGGAGAGGTTGAGGAGGAAACTTCATGGTAACCGCAGCCAGTGTGGGAATTGAACCCACCCTGTTGGCAGCACGAACCATCCAGCTAACCAACTCCAGCCTTGAATAAAAACCGAAAGAACTGCGGATGCTGTAAATCAGGAACAAAAACAAAGTTGCTGGAAAAGCTCAGCAGGTCTGGCAGCATCTGTGAAGGACAAACCGGAGTTAACATTTCGGGCCCGGTGACCCTTCCTCAGAACGGACCCGAAACGTTAACTCTGTTTTCTCCTTCACAGATGCTGCCAGACATGCTGATCTTTTCCAGCCTTGAATACTATCTTACACTGAATAAAAGGATCTCTTTACCTCCATATAAGGAGAACAAACAGCCTTAGACTCAACCAATGCAATGAGTACAAATGCAGTCAGTGAAGCATCACTTTCCGATCCCTTGACTCCTCCCTATAAAAGGAAATCAACACGCAAGGGAACAATGAGACATCTCATTCTGGCACTTTTCCACACTATCACTTCAAGCAAATAACAAGAGTAAGACCAAAAGCGATCGCTGCATTAATTTCTGGAGTTCAGGATTTAGCAAAGGTTTAAAAAGGAAAAACACGAGAAAACCCAAAGAAGATATTGACCCCAAAATGTAACTAATCTCTACACGATTATGTCAATGCCTCAATTTCATCTGAGGGAACAATGTGCCCATTTTAGAATATCAGGTATGCTGTATGAATCCAACTTGGGCAAGAACTGAACAACTTAAAACAAAAATTCTGGAAGAAAATTGTAGCCTTGGCATTTACCTGTTTTCTTGGTTTTTGAACAAGCCGTTAAAATGCTACGAGTTAAATGTTTTCCTAAGCAACTTGTGTTTATAAACATGGAGACTTTCCCATTAAAAAATATTGTTGGATGATTTGCAACATAGAAGGGAGTGGAACAGATATCAAGGAAGAGTGAAGAATGTAATTATGGAATTTAAAGTGGGAAAAGGAATGCTATTGTTCAAGGTTTGCATAGGTCCAGAAGACAGCGGCTCATAGGAACTTAGGAACAGTAGTAGGCCACTCAGCCCCTCGATTCTGTTCCACCAATCAATGGGTGATATGCATGTTAAGAGAACATTGCTCAATAGCGAAGGGCAAATAACAAAAGGGTGAAAACAGAATGTAGGAGTTACGGTGGGATAAGTCCAAGCAGGCATTCAAGAGATGGGAAACGATAAAAGGATAAGATCAAGAGAAGTTTTAATAAAGGTGCCCAAAATCTTTGAAAGTTTTGATACAGTAAATAAGGAGAAGAAATTTCCAGTGCCAAGAGGGCCCAGATCAGAGTAATTCATATACGAACCGGAATTAATGAGGAATTTTGTTAATGTAATGAGTCTTCATGATCATGGAATGCTCTACCTGAGGCAGTGCTGGAAGTAGATTCAGTTATAACTACCAAAAGAGGATTGGAGGAATAGTTGAAGGAGAAATATGCAGGAAAGAGCTATGGACTGGGATTAACTGAATAGTTCTTTCAATGCATTAGCACTGGTATGATGGACCAAATGGCCTCATTCAGTCCTGTCTTGTTTTATGATTCCATGATTTGATGATTTAGTTTTTTTTCAATGCAACCATCCTGAATGATGAAGAATAAAAAGAAACACTTGCGTACAATCATCTCTCCATGAATTACGGGAGCATCTTCTTTGAACGAACCATCAGGCTTCTGTTTATTTAATATCAGCCACTTTGCAGCTCCACATAGAACATTTGGATCAATTGTGATGAAATTGTATGACATTGCAAATACTTTCACCACGTAAGCAGTCAACCTACATAGAAAGAAAGCCAGCTTTTAAAAGAAGGATCTGACAAGGAACAGATTTTCCAGAGCAAATTGAACTGAAGAATCGTTTTACACTAAATATGTATCACTGCCACAGTAATCATGACCCAAGGTACAGATGCTGAATAAATATTATTTAATCCAAAGAGATAGAAAGAACTGCCGATGCTGGAATCTGAGATAACAAGGTGTAGAGCTGGATGAACACAGCAGGCCAGGCAACATCAGAAAACGTCTTCATTTTCTGAAGAAGGGTCCAGACCCAAAACATCAGCTTTCCTGCTCCTCTGATGCTGCCTGGCCTGCTGTGTTCATCCAACTCTACATGTTGTTATTTAATCCAAATCTATTTACTTTCGTGGAAACAAGCTTTTTAACTAGAATTGAATACTTCCAGAACACTTTCGCTGAACCTCTCCATCTCTTTCCTCTCCAACCCTCTCTAAACCCAAAGTCTGACTAAGATTTTGGCTAGGAGCAAATTACTGCAGATGCTGGAATCTGTACTGAAAACAAAAAATGCTGGAGATCACAGTGTGTCAGGCAGCATCCATGGAAAGAGAGCAAGCGAACATTTTGAATCTAGATGTCTCATCACCAGACTCTTCATCTTCTCAGCTCTGATGCAGAGTCATCGAGACTCAAAGCGTTAGCTAACATTTTGGTTATCCAGCCTGGTAATCCCTCTTATGAATCAGCTTGAAAGGTTTCATTGTGTTTAGCAGCTATAGAAAGTATCACTCATGTTGGTTCACAGGAGATTAATTGTTTCAGAAGGGAATTCTCCCTACAAATTGTGGGAGTTTAGGGTTGTAGTGATAATGTCATAATCCAGAACCCTAGGCCAATGTTCTGGGGACATGGATATGAATTCTATCAAGGCAGATGGTCAAATTTGAATTAATAAAAATCTGAAGTAATGCTGACTGTGTAACTGTTGTAATCGCTGTAAAACCCATCTAGTTCACTAATGTCCTTTAGGGAAGGAAAATCTGCCATCCTAATGTAGTCTGGCCTCCATATAACTCCAGACCCACAGCAATGTGGTTGACTCTTAACTTCCCTTTGGGGCAATTAGGGATGGGCAATAAATGCTGGCCTAGCCAGCGATGCCCACATCTATGAACAAATCAAAAAGATTGCATGGGATATTGCAAAACGATTTGTACATCCTGCACAGCTAGCAATGCAATGTGAATTTTTTTTTTGACACCAGTACAATTAGCTGGTACACAGAAGCAGCAACATTAAAATAAACCTAAGAGTTCATAACTGGAATGAACTGCCAGGGGAAGTGGCTGACTCAGGTATAGTTACAGCATTTAAAAGACATTTGGACAGGTACGTGAATAAGAACGGTTGAGAGGGATACCAGCAAAATGCAGGCAAATGGGACTATTTAGTTTGGCATCGACAAGTTGGACCAAGGGGTCTGTTTCCATGCTGTATGACTCTATGACTATATTAACGGCAGTTGCTAGAGATCTGAAACAAAAACAGGAATTCCTGCACTCAGCAAATCTGGCAGTATCTGCGAAGACAGAAACAGAGTTAATGTTTCAGGTCATAGATGTTAGAATCCGTTCAGACCAGAGAGAAGCCATTTGGCCCATCAAGTCTGCACCAGCCCTCTGAAGAGCATCCCACCCAGACGCCATACCCTGCATTTACCATGACCAAGCCACCTAATCTGCACACCCCTGCACACTGTGGACAATTTATCATGTCCAATCCATCTAACCTGCTCATCTTTGGACTGTGGGAGGAAACCGGAGCACCCAATGGAAACCCACGCAGACACGGGGAGAAAGTGCAGATTCCACACAGTTACCCAAGGGTGGAATGGGATCTAGTTCCCTGGTGCTGAGGTTTGAGTCCTGTGATCCTTCCTCAGTAAGGGACTTTTGTTTTAGAGTCAGTTTCAGAACAGTTTTTTGTCCAATGCCTCGACATTGCAAAGCATTTCAGAGGAGTACCTAGGATGTGTCATTGTAAAGTATGTCACTATAGGATTACCAGAAAGAGAAAGGAGACATTTAATTTACTAATTTAACTATAATCTTACCATGTGCTCGGTTCTCGAGATGTAAATGCTGCATAAGCACCACTTTGTTGGCGATAAGCCAATTGCTGAGCATAGCCTAAATGGAATACAAACAATGTGAGAAGAAATTAAACTCTACCAATGCTGAAAATACAAAACAAGAAAACATAACAGTTTGGACAAGAACAGTAATCCAGTACAGAATCACAGAAACTGGAAAATATTGGAACATAGAAAGCCTTCAGAAAATACTGACCAATTAAAGCCAATCCCAAACAGAGAAGTAAGAGTTTTGTCAAGTACCTCAAATGTCAAATAAAAGCAAAATACTGCAGATCCTGGAAATCTGAAACAAACGCTAAAATTGCTAGAGAAACTCAGCAGCTCTGGCAGCATCTGTGGAGAGAGAAACAGAGTTAATGTTTCAAATTCAGTATGACTGTTCTGCAGGACTGAAGAAAAAATTCTAAATGGTCACTGGACCCAAAGATGTTGCCAGACCTGTTGAGTTTCTCCAGCAATTTCTGTGTTTGTTCCTTCATCCACTTCCTCTAAGATCCTAAGAGGCTACCTAATCCTAAAATAAGTTAGCTATAGAGGTTTCCAGGGCACTCCAGCACTGTATGCAAAATTTAAATCTAAAAATTGAAACAGAAAACACCCCTCTTGTTCTTACCCCTTCATTTCCGATGTCCCATCCATGCCCCTGCAGCTCCCCCATAACCCTGTATTGGTCTATGTTCATGCACTCACCTCATATACTTATGTCAAAGTATGCCCATCTACCCCTTTCCCATAGTCCCTCACTATCCCAGGTCAACCTATGGCCATCTACCCATCTTCTGATGTCCCCTTATACCCCAATACTACTCTATGCCCCTGAAGCCACCCCATGACTCCTCTTATTTTCTGTACCACCCCATGACCATCTCTCATGGTCCGTTATATCCTATATGCTGACAATCATCCCCATGGTCCTTGAAACCCCTATGCCAACTCAGTGCCAATTCATCTCCCATCCACCAGCCTTTGTCCTTCCCTCTCCAAACCAATTTACTTATTATCCAACATGGCCAGTGATCAGAAGGCAGCACAACAGAAAATAAAGTTATGAGTCTGCTGGCTAAGTCATCATTAAAAAAAACACTGTCATCGATACAAATGAAACATTGAATACAGTGAAATTGCAAGAACGAATCCCTTAGGAAACGGAACATTTCACTTAACTGTACAATGCTTATTTCAACAAATATTTCACTTATGGTGAATACCTTATGTCAATAAACATCTCAGCCAAATATCTAAAAACCTTACAGTAAGCAACAGTTCCCTTAAATAAGCAGGTGGAGCTTTCCATCAACAGGTCCTCCTTTGGGAAAATGATAGTACGGGAAATCAGCCACACAGCTCTGATCCACCTAGTGGGTTTATATAACCAGGCACTCTCCAACTCAGAGCATTGTTTTTGTTAACTGTATGTTTTTTTGGATGGTTTCTTGACACTTTACTGAGTTTATGCACAAGCATGCCTTTCCACAGTCTGAAAGAGTACCTTAGCTCTCCCTAAGGTGACATGGGGCCATTTCCAAATTGGGTGTCTTATCTCTTCAAAAGGAGAGAAATATAAAATATCGCTATTGCACTCAACATCTCACACACACACACACGCGCACACGCACACACGCACACAAATTCACCATACCCCACTCAAGCCAACCAGGGGTGTTCAAGTCCATGACCTATTTTAACTCAACACCAACTTAGTTACTAAGCCCACTCAGAGTATCCCACATGACTGTAACCCCAACATAACACAAGGCACTCAAAACCATCCAAGACGAAGCAGCCTGTATGATTGGCCCCTCAGCTAACAGTTTCAAAGTTCACTCCATCCAGCAGCGTTGCTATCTACAAGATGTTGTGCAACAATTCACCAAGGTTCCTTAGGTGGTACTTTCTGAACCCACAACTTACACCATCTAGAAGGACAAGGGCAGCAGACACATGGGAACACCACCTCCCAAATCCACTGACCATCCTCACTTGGAACTATAAGGCCGTTCCTCCACCATTGTTGGGTCAAAATCCTGGAATTCCTTCAGTAATAGCACTGAGTATCTGCTACCCTTATCCTTCTAGGTGGCAAAGCTCATAGGCTTCGAAGGCATTGTCAACGCAAAGCAACGCAAGGATGTTGTGAATGTGATATTGTAAACTTTAAGAACTATCATCGATTGAAAGAATCGGAATGAATCAAAAAGACAGAATAACTCTTTGTGGGATAAACTGTTTCCTGAGACAAAGGGAGAAGGAATTAAAAGCAATATGCCAATTAACCATTCCTGGGAAAAAAAGGAGTCGAAGCTCCATAAACAACCTGTTTTAACAACTGCTTGATAACCAGCTGGCTTTTGACACATAGTAAATTAAAGTTGCCTGCAGAAGAACTTAACGAGTTAATGGCAGGAACAGAGAAGCAAGTTGCAGACATTGTGACTTCAGAAGTGTCATAAATAATGTCATACCACAAACTTGATAAGACAGAAAATCCTATAAGAATTTAACTTTGGGATTCTACAGCAGTAGAACCCCAGAAAACCATCCTGCATAGGGATCAAACCTTGGACATATCCAGATACAGATGCTATTGGTTGGAATGTAACTAATTCCACCATTAACTGGGTAATAGCTAAGTTCAGTTGTGAGGCTTAACTTGCTTACTTGAGGTATCTTGTTTTGGTTGCTAAATGAAACAAAGTTTAAATAATTGTTTCAGTATTTAATAGTGAGATTTCACAATAACTAGCCAAAGTAAAGGTAGCTTGTGTTAATTTACACACAACATCAGCATCAGGTAAGGGCTTAGCGAGTGAGCATTAAGAAAGCAAATGAGCAGCCCTGAGATGCAGCCTGGTCCGGTACATGAACAGGGTGCCTGTCCCTTCATGAAAATTGTAACTGCAGCTGGCTTTCAATGAAAAGCGACATAGAGTCCATAGAGCTGTATAACACAGAAACAGACCCTTTGGTCCAACTCATCCATGACGACCCAATATCCTAAATAAAGCTAGTACCATTTGCTAGCATTTGGCCCATATCCCTCTAAACCCTTCCTATCCATGTGCCCATCTAGATGCCTTTTAAATGTTGTAATTGTACCAGCCTCCACCACTCCCTCTGGCAGCTCATTCCATACACGCCCCACCCACTGTGTGAAAAAGTTGCCCGTTAGTTCCCTTTTAAATCTTTCCTCCGTCACCTTAAACCTTTCCCCAATAGTTTTGGACTCTCCTACACTGGGGAAAAATGCATGTTAAACTGCAGCGGTGCAGTGTAGAAGCACAGTATATGTGGATTAGAGATAAGTCATGAGGGTGCAGATAGCCTGTATCAGACAACAGTGTAATGAGGTGGAATTGCATGAGGCCTCTGCCCATGTTACATGCCCTGCTTCATTAGCGTCCAAGATGGAATTCTGGAGGAACAAGTCATGAAATGGAGTCTCTAGTACCTGCTCAACTCCCAAGCCAGGAATTTTCTAAGTCTAGTTTCCATCTGACACACGTTGTATTGGAATCTGCATATGAATGAAGTGAGATTAGGCAGCAATGAGGATAAACAATGACCAATAAGCCCAGTTAATGGACATCTCCCCATTCTCCAGCAGAAATCTCATCTCAAACTTCCGGGACTCTTGTTGGAAAATATGACTTGCTGGTCTTGTCTTTGAGAAAGGCGCAGTTCGACTCCTCGCTCAATTCCCCCAAATTTCTCACCATATCCTGTGCTAAGATTGCACCGACAGTCTATTCTGTGTTTGATTTCTGCTAAATCAACAGTGATAGTGTCTACATGCAACAACTTGTAAAATTCAATTTCCAAAACATGACATTCCTTATCTCAACAAACTTAAATATAAAAGGAGTGAGACGTACCTGTTTGAATGTTCTTCACTGAAGCTTCTCGCTTATCCATTCCCACTCTTTCCCACTGCCTCGTTTTGTCCAGAAAGTTGGTAACAATCACTCCTGGGGTTATCGATGCCATGTTCTGCTCTCCACAGCCAGTAGGAACTCTAATTAGATGTTTCAGTTTGGCCCCATCAATGGAATTTTCAATTGCTTGGGCTAAAATGTCTCCTGTTTGGGAACAAAATACATTAACATGTAAAAAATATTGCAAATGTTGGAATTCTGGAATAAAAACAAAAAATGCTAGAAATATTCAGCAAATCAGTCAAAATATGTGTCAAGAAAATCTTTTTGATTTTGCATCAGAACTGAAGAAAGTTATCAGTCTACTTGTTTTTAGGTAGGCGAAAGGGATAGTGGAAAAAGAACATAAGTGAAGGTCTGTCAAAAGGGAAATAATCAAAAGTACTTCATCTTTTGATTAGATGTTTTGTATCCTTCCAGATTCAATAATTAGATCAAGGATTGTATTTCTGCCCCCATGTTATTTCCATCTCTTTATATATTTCTATCTTGCTTTTCTCCCGTTTTTGCTTCTGAATGGCAACTGTTCATTATTCTGTTATTCAGACCCCATGTAGTTACATCTTTTCTTTAACTATTAAGTAATCACTTCCTTTAGATGTGTTGTCATTCAATGTTTCCCCTCTATCACAGGCTTTCCTTTTGTTTCTTTATCCATCCCCACCCCATTTCACCTGCTTAAGAATCTGTAACATCTCTAAGCTTTCCTGGTTCTGATGAAGGACAATCAACCTGAAATGTTATCTCCGTTTTCATCTCCACAGATGCTGCCTGACCTGCTGAAAATTTCCTGCATTTTCTGCATTTAGATTTATATCAAACAAAAACATAATCAAAATCAGGCTACATTGATAAAACTGTTGCACTAAATATCAGAAAGTAATTCTCCCCATTTACATCCACAAATCTTTGATTTCTTTCACTGTCTTGGAAGAAATTGACAGGCAGTCCCTGGGTTATGAACGGGTTCTGTTTCTGAGTGCATTCATAAATTGATTTGTATGCAAGAAAGAACACAATACGTCACAATATAAAATAGCTGTTCAGAAAGTCAAGCAAATGTTCGCATGTCAGATCTTTAAAATTAATACTAATACATCTCTCTGTATGGGATCGCGTTCCTAAGTCGGACATTTGTAAATTGGCAATTGCCTATATTGCCAAGATGCACTTTGAAAATAATTTCTATATCTTGTAAAAGAATAGCAAGTATAAAATTGTAAATGGTTATTTGCAAACTCTGCCCCAATAGGAGGATAAACTCATAAGACTCTATTTTAAACAGTTGATCTTTTACCTTATTTGCAGAGGATTTATAGAAACTAACAGAACAAGATAAAAACATTCATCCAGTTGCATCTCTGTCAGCTCTTAGGTAGAGGTATCTACATGGTCTCACATGCCACTCTTTGCTCTTTGTCCCTTTATGTTCTCCCTTTCTATTTCTCATCTTATTCTCTTCTGCAGTTACTAAATGCATCTGCTTCCACCATTCTTATGTGCAATGAATCCAGCTCACACCAACTTATTGCATTAAAAATTTATCATCTTGGCTCTTTTGTGGGAGTCTGGAATGCCTTGCCTGGGAGGATAGTTGAGGCTAGAAACCTCAAAACCTTTAAAAGGTATTTGGAAGAACAAATGAAGTGTCATAACATTTAAGGTTGTGGGTCTTTGCAGGAAAGTGGGACTGGTGTAGACAGTATATTTTTGGCAGTACACACTTGATGGACTGAAAAGCCTCTTCTGCACTCAATGATTATGTTACAATTATCTTAAATCCACATTCTTCAGTTACTGGCTTCTCAGTCGGGGAAGGAAATAATCACTCCTTAGTAACACTATCAAAATTCTACTTTTTTATACACTTTATGCAACAGCAACAAGCGTTAGTCAGAAATTATAAGAAGGAAAATAAGGTTTAAAAATTAAGATGGATGCTCACAAATTCGTAGCATACTCTAGATTTAACACAATTTCCTTCAGGAAACAGTTTTCTTTGCCAGTGTACTTTTAACCGCATTAGTTATGTCCTGGGGAGATTCACATACTTTTAATCTCAAAAACAAAAATTTCTGGCCTCGCAAATGAAGGCAACAGAAAAACAAGCACAGGAAGATGGGCCAAATGGCTTCCTTCTGCACTGCAAATTTTCATGATTATGTCTACAAGTGGTGGGACACAAAATGAAAATCACCCATCATCTTCTGATGTTGGAAAGTATGATTAATCAATGGTAGCTACTGAGAAGAGGGCCAAAGAAAAATCAGCGAACCACGTATCACACAGTTAAAATCAAAAGGAAGGAAATACCGTCAAATTTTTGCACTATGTATGTTAGAAAAGACCATGTTTGTACACTCCAAGAAGGAGCTCTAAGATCCTGAGCTAGCCCTATAAAGGTAAAATCAAACATACTTAACTATTTGGCACAATATAAGCATGATCCAAATCAATCTACCTTGAACACTGATGAATGATAATGGCTCCGTATCTGGAACAACATCACCTGGGACTTTGATATCAATATCAATTGTTTGTTGCTTACCTAAATTGAAGGGAGAACGTGTTGAGTTATATAAAGCAAATCTTTCATTTAAATCATTGTTTTTTCTCTGCAGCCATTGGTTTGCATTGTTTCCTATGAGATCTTTCCCTCTGGCAGGTCAGTTAGCTCAGTTGTTTGGACAGCTGGTTCGTGATGCAGTGTAACACCAACAGCCTGAGTTCAATTCCTGTATTGCCTGAGGTTACCATGAAGGACTCTCTCCTTGCCTGAGGCATGGTGACCCTCAGGTTAAACCACCAGTCATCTTTCTCTTTAATGAGAAAGTAGGACAATGGCAACTTTACCTTTGTTTACCTGTAACTGCTTTACTGAGTCCACCTGGAGTTTACTCGAGATTTCAGCATTTTAATTCCTCCCAAGCTTTTGACTAAATTAAGGAAGTTCCAACATTCTGATATAGCCCTATAAAGGGAAAATCAACAATTTTTAGCTTTCTATCCAGGTCTCAGTTTTCCCTGAACAGATGGTTAGGAGTGGAAATTAATTAGTGACGTTAAGCACTTAGTAATGTCTAGCTTAAATTTGGTTAGAGAGATAGAATTGAGAAGCAGAAGAGTTCTGGTAACCTTGCCTTGAAGTCATTTGGTCCATACCTAAGACGCTGCGCAAAATTCCGGTCTCCATTAGGATACAGAGGTACCAAACAAATGGAAAGAAACAAGATTCACAAGGGGGTTATCAGAACTGAGATGTTATACCCTACAGGAAAGATAGAACAGGCTGGAAATTTTTTCCCTAGAAGAAAGAAGCTAGGGAGTGTCGTAGAGTCATAGAGTCATACAGCACAGAAACACACCCTTCAGTCCAACCAGTCCATGCCGAACATAATCCCAAACTAAACTAGTCCCACCTGCCTGCTCCTGACCCATATCCCTCCAAACCTTTCCTATTCATCTATCTATCCAAATGTCTTTTAAATGTTGTATTTGTACCCACATCCACCACTTCATCAGGAAGTTCATTCCACACGCGAACCACGGTCTGTGTAAAAAATTTGTCCCTCATGTCTTTTTTAAATCTCTCTCCTCTCACCTTAAAAATGTGCCCCCTAGTCTTGAAATCTCTCAACTTAGGGAAAAGACACCTACCATCAATTCTGTCAAACCTCTCATTATTTTGTTAACTTCTATCAGGTCACCTTTCAAACTCCTACGCTCCAGTCCGAGCCTATCCAGGAGAAGAAGGGTCTAGGCCCGAAACGTCAGCCTTCCTGCTCCTCTGATGCTGCTTGGCCTGCTGTGTTCATCCAGCTCTACACCTTGCTATCTATGTTTCAGTGTAATTGCATTGAATTCCTTCCCTCAATCCCTTGCCAATGTCTGAGGCTGCTCAAGCCTTGACATACTATTTTAGCTCTGAGCTGAGTGTCCAACCTCTCTGTTACCAAAGTCACACTATAATATATCTCTGTCTTGTCTTCAGCTCATCTGCTGCTAAAACCCTTAGCCTTGCCTGTTACCTCTAGACTCTAACTATTGGAATAGTATGCAAACCAGCCTCCCATTCTGTACCCTCCATATCATTAACTTCATCCAAAACTCTGCTGTCAATATCCAAACACACAAAAGGTCCGTTCACCAAAGAGTCCCCATAACTGACATGAACTCCGAAACTGTCAACACCCCAAGTCAACACGGCTTTGCTGCTCCCTGCCCTTGTCGTTTTCTCCAGTCCTGAAACCTCCCTGTATTTGTCCGAATGAGTGCAAAATGAAATGAGTAACTCTGTTTTCGGAAATAACACGAATAACATTTTGACAACCACTTGCCATTAAGATATAAGCAAAGGAGAAGAATCTAACCTTTGGGATCCAATTCATAAGTTTGCACGGGACAGTCAATTTTCTTTCCCTCTGGCTACAGGAAAGAAAACCAGAATAAAATGAGTTAGAGAGTCTGCTTCTCAGTTTATGCTTAAACCGTCATGATTCTGTAGCTTAAAGCATTTTACAACATAATCCTCCCACTTGCCCCAACACTTTATGCATCAGTGTCATTAGCATTCACTTTCAATAAAGTCACCTCACTATTCAGGACATACGTACACCTTTTTTTTTAACAAATCTACCAGTATAAATTCCTGAAATTTACAGCAGATAGAATATTTCCCAACCTAATCTTACAATTCCCATTTTTCCCAAAATAAAAGTTTGTCGTTCAGTGTGATATCCAACTGATATCAGAGTGATGTCCCATGTCCACCACCCAAATCTTTTACATTCTTCGTAATCAAAGACACTGCCATAAATATTCAATTCCAACTCCAGTCTCCATTGCCCAAGGGTGTGGTGCGGCAGATTCAAACATAACTTTCAAAAGGGAATTGGATAAACCACCTAAAGATGGGGGTAAATGCAGAAGCTCAGAGAAAGGGCTGGAAGTCAGACTTTTGCAAAGAGTCAACACAGGCTTGTGGGTCTGAACAGCCTTTTGCACTGCAAACATTCATTGATTCCTATCCATTAATTAGCAAGTGGTGACAAATGCTAAGAACATCTGAAGGTTTTGTACCTACCACCACACGAAGGGATTTTCTCACACCATCAGTCACAAGTTTGTCATAGACTGAAGCTTTAACTTCTATATCGATTTGTCCAATTATTAGTGGAACTATGACGTAAGGCACAGCAACGGACCCTTTCCCAGGGATTTTTACTGTTGTTCTGAATCGCTTTGTCGGCTTTGCACCGCTGCAGATATTTTCATTGTATGGAATCTCTACACGCACCTACAATTTAAAATACAATGGAATTATGAAAAAATCATGAATCATTCGCAAACAATTTACATTGGTACAAGTACATCATGCCAAAATTAGAACTGCAACATTATGCTCCTGACTCATTTACACCAAAGTGCTGTAGATCCACCAACTGTGATGGAGAAAATGATTTTCTATTGGAATTATACAGTTAAACTGTGATTGACTGCACTGTGTACATTCAATGGTTTATTTTCAAATAGCAACATCTCATCAACAACATCAATACATTGTACACGGGAAGAATTTCAGTTTCAAAACGAATGCCAGAAACTAATTGCAACAGCCTCCTGAGACCTGAAGCTCTGAACTGCAAAGGATTCCAAGCTGCTTGAAAAGCATGCAAAATGTGTGCCTGGGATTTCCAGTTACAACTTAAAATAAACAAAAGCAAGTAACACCAGAGAGCTGGAAAAACATTTGCAGTTCCACACTTGGGGCAGCAGCAGTGATTCTCTCCTCCTGTCAAAAATTTTCAAATTAAGCAAACCTTCGGTAATTCAATATAGAGTCATACAGCCAAACAGCACAGAAGCAGACCCTTTGGTCCAACCAGTCCATAATCCTAAACTAAACTAGTCCCAGCTGCCTGCTCATAGAATCCCTACAGTGTGGAAACAGGTCCTTCGGCCCAACAAGTCCACACCGAACCTCGGAGCATCCCACCCAGACCCATCCCCCTATAACCCACCTAATCTACACCTCCCTGAACACTACAGGCAATTTAGCATGGCCAATCCACCTACCCTGCACATCTTTGGACTGTGGGAGGAAACCGGATCACCCGGAGGAAACCCACGCAGACATGGGGAGAACGTGCAAACTCCACACATACAGTTGCCCGAGGCTGGAATTGAACCCGGGTCCCTGGTGCTGTGAGGCAGCAGTGCTAACCACTGTGCCACCGTGCTGCCCAATACGTGCTCCTGTCACATATCCCTCCATACCTTTCCGTACTTCTCTAAGTGTCTTTTAAATGTTGTAACTCCACCCGCATCCAACACTTCATCAGTAAGTTCAATCCACATGTGAACCACCCTCTGTGTAAATAATTTCCCCCTCATGTCTTATTTTAAATCTCTCTCACTCACTTTAAAAATATGCTCCCTAATCTTGAAATCCCTCATCTTAGGGAAAAACACATACCATTAACTCTATCTATGCCCTACATGATTTTATAAACCTCTACACTCCAATGAAGAAAGTCCCAGCCTATCCAGCCTTTCTTTATAACTCAGACCTTCCATACCCGGCAACATTCTGGTAAATTTCTTCTTAACCTTCTCTAGCTTAATAATATCCTTCCATGGTCAACATAGTATTGTTATCAGTCCTACAAGGGATTTGTTACTGATGATAAAATTTATCACTTTCATTTCTCACTGTTCTTACACTTAACCCAGCTCTACAATTCAAGCTGCTAGATTATTTTTTGTTGTAACTTTATTGTACTGGATAAAAAAATGCACATTGACACTAATATTCTGTGATCCAGTACTGTGTCTGATAGTAGCCTCCAGTAACCACCCTAACACTAAACTATCAACCAACTCCAACAAAAACAGAAATTCAGCAGATCTAACAGCATCTAACTTCAAAAGCTTCAAACCTAGTGACCCTTCTTCGGAACCCTGATCTCCCTTGACTGTCTAAAGTCCTTGAAAATATTATCTCCCAAAAGCCATATTTGTTTTGTTCACACAATATCATAATTGAATCTTTCCAATCAGCTGTTTTTCCCTGCTATAGAATTGGAAATCCCAATTGGAAGTAACCCTAATATTCCCTGTGACTTTATGGATGGCACATTCACCGTTGTAGGCTTCATCAATCTCTATCATTCCTTTAACACAATCCATCATACGATCCTCTTTCACTGCAGTAATCCCTAAACTTTCCTGGTGAGAACCCATTTCAATCCCTGGGCTTCATGTGATCCCAGGTGGAAATTTGGAAGTGAAGAGTTGCATGGGCAGGCCAGCAAGGGCTTCTGTTGCAGCAACTGGTCTGAAAAGAGTTGAGCATACCCAATGCACCCCTTTTCCCTCATCTCTCATCAATCCCCAACTTCCCCTTCACCACCATCCCCCATTCACCCTTGCTTCAATCCCATCCCCCACCTTGTTCACACCCAATCTTCCTTTCCTGCACTCCTATCTCTCCCTCCTTAAACCTGCATCTCCCCAATTGGATTGATTTCCACATCCAAATCACTCCCATTCTTCCTTTCTTTCACACATTCTATTTCCTCCATCTCCTTACCTCCCCTACTTTCACTTCCTCCATCACACCCATCAACACGTTCTTTAGCCCCTGGTCGGTCACTCAACCCCAGTAGATAGTTTGGCCCATCACCCTCTCACCCATCTATGTGCCCTTCCTATCCCCCATTTCCGCCCACCTTCACCAATTTCTCCCTCCTTAAGACTTAAATTTCTCTCTTTGCACCACTTCCTTAATTTCCTCCTCCTCCTTTACCCCAATTATCATACTTTCATTGCTCAGATACAGATTCTTTCATCTTACCCTCCTTCAATCTCATCTCTACTTCCTTCATCTCTCCTTGTCCCCCATCCCCTCCTTCAACACCCCCTCCATCTTCCTACCTTCACTGCTCATATGCAGTGTCCTTCACTCTTCAGATTGCTGCTCCCCTCTCCCTTCATTGGCCATCTCCTTTCTCCTTTAACCGCCCCATCTCCCACTTCATTCGGCCCCACCCCTCCCACAGCCCACGACCAATCTCCCTTTCCGATGAATTCATAGTAACCTCAGCCAACGTGGGAATTGAAACTACACTGTAGGCATTGTGCCGCATTGCAAACCAGCCATCCACCAATTCAGCTAACCAACGCCCCCATTGGGATGATGAATGCATTACGAAACTTACTTGAATCTCTTCTTCATCGTAATTGTACAGGATCGCTCTAATTTCCACTTGTTCATTGCGGACGACAGAATATGGAAGTCGAAGATCAATGAAGAAATCCTTCTGCACTGTCAGCTCATAAGGTTGAGCAATACATATTCCTGGGTACAAGAAATATAATTTAATAATAATTCAGAACAGGTGGCACAATCCTCATTTTGAAAACAGTGTTCATTTCGTGTTGCAGGTACACCTAAAGCTGGAAATAGTGAATGGGAAATGGCAACCCCTACTTTTCTTTTTAATTTCATCATCTTTGTCACTGCAATTGTCATTGAATGGATCCTACCATCGCCACCATGCACTTGGAATTGCATGTTTACAAGTGTGACTGTCACTTCAGTGGGTGTTTCCTATAATCACTGATCTCCCCATTCTTCTCTTGTCCCATCACAGTCACAACCCATCTACAACATCATCTACAAGGGCACACAGCAACAGCAAGGCTCGTTGAGCAGCACCTTCCAATTTGGTTCACTCCACGTGATATCAAGAAACAGTTGGAGACACTGGATACTGCAAAGGCTATGGGCCCTGACAACATTCCAGCAATGGTACTGAAGACTTGTGCTCCAGGACTTGCCACTCCCCTAGCCAAGCTGTTTCAGTACAGTTATAACACTGGCATCTACCCAACAATGTGGAAAATTGTCCATGTATGTCATGTACACAAAATGCAGGACAAATCCAACCTGGCCAATTACTGCCCCATCAGTCTAATCTTAATCATCAGTAAAGTGATGGAAGGTGTCAGTAACAGTGCTATCAAGCAGCACCTGCTCAGCATTAACCTGCTCAGTGACACCCAGTTTACGTTCCGCCAGGGCCACTCAGCTCCTGACCTCACTACAGCCTCGGTTCAAACATGGACGAAAGAGCTGAATTCCACAGGTGAGGTGAGAGTGACAGCCCTCGATATCAAGGCTGCATTTGGCTGAGTATGGCATCAAGGAGCCCGAGCAAAACTGGAATCAATGGGTATCAGGGGGCAAACACTCCAGTGGTTGGAGTCATACCTGACACATAGGAAGATGGTTGTGGTTGTGGGAGGTCAGTCATCTCAGTTCCAGGTCATCTCTGCAGGAGTTCCTCAGGGTAGTGTCCTTGGCCCAACCATCTTCAGCTGCTTCATCAGTGCCTTTCCCTCCATCATAAGGTCAGAAGTGGGGATGTTCACTGATGATTGCACAATGTTCAGCACTATTCGTGACTCCTCAGATACTGAAGCAGTCCATGTTCACATGCAACAAGATCTGGACAATATCCAGGCTTGAGCTAACAAGTGGCAAGTGACATTCGCGCCAGACAAATGCCAGGCTATGACCATTACCAATAAGAGACAATCTAACCACCGCTCCTTGACATTCAATGGTGTTACCATCACAGAATCCCCCACGATCAACATCCTGGGGGTTACCATTGACCAGAAACTCAAATGGACTCACCACATTAACAGACTGGCTACAAGAGCAGGCCAGAAGCTAGGAATACTGTGGTGAGTAACTCATCTCCTGACTCCTTAAAGTCTGTCCACCATCTACAAGGTACAGGTCAGGAGTGTGATGGAATACTCCCCACTTGCCTGGATGCGTGCAGCCCCAACAATACTCAAGAAGCTTGACACCATCCAGGACAAAGCAACCCACTTGATTGGCACCACATCCACAAGCATCCACTCCCTCCACCAATGATGCTCAGTAACAGCAGTGCGTACTATCTACAAGATGCACTGCAGAAATTCACCAAAGATCCTCAGACAGCACCTTCCAAACCCACGACCACTTCCACCTAGAAGGATAAGGGGCAGCAGATACATGGAAACACCACCCCCTGCAAGTTCCCCTCCAAGTCACTCACCATCCTGACTTGGAAATATATTGCCGTTCCCTCATTGTCACTGGGTCAAAATCCTGGAATTCCCTCCCTAAGGGCACTGTGGGTCAACCCACAGCAGGAAGACTGCTGCGGTTCAAGACGGCAGCTCACCACCACCTTCTCAAAGGCAACTAGGGATGGGGAAGAAATGCTAGCCCTGTCAGCGACGCCCACATCCCACAAATGGATAGAAAAAAAAAACCATGACCTCTACCACATACAGTAGGAGAGGCAGATACATGGGAACTTCAACACTTATGTAAGTTCCCTTCCAAATCACGGGTCAAGGTTAGACTTACTCAATTCATACTTTGTTTGCAGTTTCCTAAAACAAAACCAAATGTCGACAAAATATCATCAGAAGCAAAAAATCTGGAGGTAAGGCATGGTGAGCAATTTGATAAGAAGAGTGCACTGGAAAGGTTAGGTGGGAGGTGCCAGAGGATTGGAGAGTAGGAATTCATACTGTGAATCACAAAAATCTGTAAGACTTCCCAGTAACTATGACAGTCAGTTGACATCGGTGCTGGACAAGAAACAATAATCACGGGTAAAATAATCGAAAGGCACTAGGAGAGTTGTGAGGAAGTAAGGAGAGCCAGCACAAACTGGCATAAAGCTGATTATGTTTTACAAATTTAATTGATTTTTCAAATGAAGTAACAGAAATTTGATGCAAGAATAGAAATGAATGTTGCTTCTGTGGATTTTACGAAAGTCTTTGACAGTGTACCACATAAAAGGCTGGTTATCAAAACTGCGGCTCAGGAATTAGAAAAGTCAGTGTCTTAAGAACGGAAAACATTAGGCATGATAAATGGTTGCTTAATGTTTAATTTAATGCAGAGAAGTAGGAACTGATGTAGTTTGGCAGAAATAATGGGGACAAGCAACATAGATTAACTGGAACATTTCTGAGGAACATACTTGGACCGAGAGGGCTGAGGGTTCATGCTATAGATCTTTGAAGGTGGCAGTACACATCAGGAGAATGGTTAACCAAGCAATTAGTTCTTGGTCTTCATGAGTAGAGATGTTGAGTTCAAATGCTGGGACATTATACTGAATCTGTATTAAGTTATGGTTAAACTACAACGAGAGCACTGCACCTAGTTTTGGTTACTATACTTTTGGAGGGATCGAGTGGCCCTTCAAAGGGTGCACTGGAGGTTTACCAGATTGGTTCCAGCCGAGATGGACTAAGTTTCGAGAAGCTGGAATGGATCCCTTGGAGAAATGACAATACAGGAGAAATTTGATACAGGTTTAAAAGATTATAACATGCATGTGTCTGTGCAGTTGTCCCTGGGACAGCAGATGAGGCTAGCAGATAAGGATTTTTTCTGAAGAAGGGTCTAGACCCGAAACGTCAGCTTTCCTGCTCCTCTGATGCTGCTTGGCCTGTTGTGTTCATCCAGCTCTACACCTTGTCATACAAGAATCTATGTGTTAAGTCTTTTATTGTGGGGAAACTGATGCACTGTAGCTGGTTCTGGCTGACCTGGAAATCTTCCTGCTCTATGCACCTTCCATAGAACATAGTGAAAGGATTTACAGACTGATAAGCATGAAGTATCTTTCGTGGACATTAAGCTCTGAGGTGGGGCTTGAAGAGGGAGCTTCTGGCTTAGAGGGTGGACTCTATGACAGGTGGTTTAGATAAGTTAAACAAAGAAAGGCTGATGGACTCATACAGCCATAGAGATGTATAGCACAGAAACAGACCCTTCGGTCCAACTTGTCCATGCTGACCACAAATCCTAAATAAATCTAGTCCCACTTGCCAGCATCTGGCCCATATCCCTCGAAACGCTTCCTATTCATGCCCCCAACCAGATACATTTAAAATGTTGTAAATGTACCAGCCTCTTCCTCTTCCTCTTCCTCTTCCTCTGGCAGCTCATTCCATACACGCACCACCCTCTGTGTGAAAAACTTGCCCCTCTGGTCTTTTTTATATCGTTCCCCTCACCTTAAACCTATGCCCCTCTAGTTTTAGAATTCCTTACCCCAGGGAAAAGACCTTGTCTATTTACCCTATCCATGCCCCTCACAATTTTCGGAAGAGTTGTGGGAAAGTAGTCAGGAAACTACCTGAGCTATTGCTGCCCACTGTATTTCCATTCCAGAAGGGTAGATATTGGATGGAGTTGCCCACCTCTCCCTCCCCCATTATGCCCACCCTCCAGGCATCTGGGTAGCCTGGCCAGTGGGCTGAAATGCTCATCACAATTTCAAACAAACTCAGCCTAATTGGAATGGTACACCCTCAAACACTCAACCTTTAACTCAACATCTTCACTTAAATCCCAAACACCCCAGATAGCCCCAAGCCACCTCTGTGTCCCTATGCAACTTCTATGCCAACTCTGTGACTCTACATGTCCTCCATAAGCATTCATTCAGTAGCTACTATGGGCAGACCTCAGGAGCCATGTTTCAAAACAGGATACAAAAAGAAATAACTTCAAACAATCCTTAACAGAACCTTCATTCAAACGCACACATTATTGAAAAAAACTCATTTATGAAACTCATGCCAAAATGTAAATCCCTAAAGTGGTCAATATATTGTTAAAAAAAAACAAACTTCACAGATCACATTTAATAACCTCTTAAAACTGTCAACCGAACTGTGAACATAGTTCCTTGTTTAGATGAGAGATAGTAGGAACTGCAGATGCTGGAGAATCCGAGACAACAAGGTGCAGGGCTGGATGAACACAGCAGGCCAAGCGGCATCATAGGAGCAGAATGGCCTGCTGTGTTCATCCAGCCCTGCACCTTGTTGTCTCCTTGTTTGGATGAGCGGTTTTAGAACTTTTGAAACTCAGGTCAATCAATCACATTGAGCTCAATTGTAATAACAATGTAAGCGATGGATTCCAGTGAAACTGATAAACTGGATGGTCACATTTTTCTAAACTGCACCAGATGGCCTGTCAATCAAAGCGGTCTTGGGGAAAATATCTGCTCCAAGTTAAAGATGGAGATTGGATTATTTCTCTGATTTAAAAGGACTCATAGTTCATTAATTATTTTTGATCATTACCTTTGAAATCCCAAGCCTTTTTTTTCTTCAATTTTGAATACATAAGAGCACTTGCCCCACAACAAAAATATTCTGATTCATCTTAGCACTTAAACAATGAAAATCAATTTACCTTTATAAACAAGAGCACTTTAATTATAAAATATTTAACTTATGATATAAAATCTAATTATTGAAATTGAAAGCATAGGCTTTTTTTTCTGTATTGTAAAGTCAAACAATGGAAGAGCACCTGGAACAAGTAGCTTTTAATTGGATACTTCACTTGGGATTAGGGTCTCTACATGGATCATAACTCACCTTGAGATGCTATGAATCACAATTCCTTCCAAAAAAACATCGTGAATAAAACTGAGGGTGTAAAATGCAGCATGGAGATGACAAGGGTAGAATTGTTCAGAGGAGATTTGGTCCCCTCACTTTAATGCCAGGGCTGTAAAAAAAATCCCAATCAATGGAAATAGGGTTGGAATGCTGGAATCTGTTCTGACAGTTTTAAATTCCTCCTGTCTCCATCTATGTTAGCATGGACAGAGGTATGTAAGTCTGGGCCTGTGGATCTTTTCACTAAATCAAACATGACTTACCTTTCTGTGGAGACACACTGACAGCTTGTATTTCCCAAGTAGTAATAGAGTCTTTAAGGTAACCATTTACATCCTTTGTCACAACTCTGATGAAGGAAAATAAAAACAATGAACATATCTTGGCCTACATCACTAACACCAAGATACTTGTCAGATCAAATCTATGTTTTGTTTCCAAAATCAACTACTGGACAAATGTCTTTTTCTTATGTAAACTGCTACCCCTTGTTTGACTCTTCACCATGAAGGATGTGAACAGTGCTGTATGTTTAAGATCATGCCAACCATATACGAGTAATCCAAAGCATTCCATGACAGTTCTGTCTAAAGGCTATTGGCTACTGATGCTTCACCCTGAGCTATTTTGCTTTATCACAGGTGGTTTTGCCAATGTTTTTTTCAGTCAAGGGCAGGATAAGGAGGTCTGTCTTAAGTGTACTCAGCAGGATCAGGTACCAAACCTCTGCTATTGGTGGTTTGTTGATCCATATTGCAGACTAGAAATGGACATTTGTTTGGTAGACTCATTTTATAAGTGTTTCAGGGATAGTGATCATGTTGGGAGCTGTGTCTCCTCTGAGTCAGAAAGTGACAGTTCAAGTCCCAAAAGGTCCCACTTTGAGACTTGAGCACTGAAACTGAGGCAGAATTTCCAGTGTAGTACTGAAGGACTGCTGCTCTGTCAGAGGTGCCATCATCTTTCAAGTGACACATTAAACTAGCCCACCTGCCTTTGAATGCAAAAAAAATCTCACAAGATAAGAAGCTGGGGATTTCTCTGGCTGTACTGGCCTATTCTAATCTCTCAACAAATATTAGAAAACAATGTAATTAACTGGTCACTTTCAGTTTCTGACTATGCTATTTCCTGCTGTCATCCTAAACTGGAAAATCTCAGTGGCTTTATTTCCAATTTCTACCCTTTCATCGCCTACACATTGTGAACCTCCAACTCTTTCCTCCCCTTCCGTGGTTTTCATTTCTCCCATTTCTGAGATGAGGTAATCAACTAATATACATGACAAGCCAATTGACTCCCACAGTTATCTTGACTATACTTCTTCACATCTGCTTCCTGCACCGTCAGTTTCTGGATCCCTGTCACATGTGCTCGAATGGTACAACTTTACCTTTCCTTTCTTTCAACTGCGGATTCCTCCTGCTGTTGTTGATAGGGTCTTCAACTGTGTTCATTCTATTTTCAGGTACTTCTGCTGTCATCCTCTCCTCACCCTTCCAGAGCTATGATAGAGCTCCCCTTGTCCTTACCTTCCATTTACCAGTTTCCATATGCAACAGGTAATTCTCAGCTACTTCCAATATGATGTGATCAGCAAACAGCCCTTTCATTGTCACCCCTTTCAGCATCCCAAAGGGAGTCTTCACTCATGACAACCTGGTCCACTCCTCTCTCACTCCCAACAACCCCTCCCTTTCCTACAATACTTCTCCATGGAGATCCAATTTGAGTCTTTTTAACCTTCTCCCTTCTTTAAATTTGACGCTGGGTTTTCGCTGTTCAGCATGAGGTCTTCTCTATATTGGGGAGACCAAACACAAACCCATGTGATTTCAAACCAAACACAAACTTTTGAGTTGCAAACATGACCCTGTCAGTTCAATCCTTTACTTTGCTCCAACTCTGACCTCTCTGTCTTTGGCCTGCTATTGTGTTTCACTGAAGCTGAACACGAACTCAAGGAATAAGACCTCAAATTCCAACTGGAAACTCTATAGCGAATAAGAGTTCAACAATTTTAGATCGTAATCTCTGGTGTTTACTTTCTCTCTCTGATTTCTCTTAATAACTTTGCATTTTGGACATCAGCTATCCTGCCATTTACACCTCTTATGGACACATATTTTGCTTCTTCATTTGTTCCATTACCATTCCCTATAGCTTCTCAACATACCTTCAGCGATTTAATCTCACCTCCCCTCCACTTTATCAAAGACCCTCACCTTTTGTTCATTCCTGCCCCTACCACACCATCAAACTCTATTACATTTCAAACTTATCCCAGTTCTGACACAAGGTCACAAACCTGAAATGACACCCCGAATGCCTCTTTGCAGATGCTACCCAGCCTGTTGAGTATTTGCGGCGTTTACAGTTTACGTTTCAAGACAATGTTCTGCTTCTGTATCATCACATTACTGTCTGAGGGAGCTTGCTGTGGGCAAATTGGCTGCTGAGTTTCCTAAATCACAAATGGCATCCCTCAAATTAAATTTTACAAAAACCCTTCAAGAAAAGAAAGTGCTCAATTAAATGCAGAAGGTAGGATTGCCGTGGTCCTTTTGACCAGAGGGCTGATGTCTCATTAATGAGAGATGACTGGTGGCAGTTTAAAAGGACAGAGGTTGAGAAGGCAAACTGTTCAGCTGGTGCAGTAATTGACCCCACCCTGATGGTGTTTCTTTGCATTGCAATTCAGTCATCCTAGCTAAAAGACACACCCCTCCCCCTTCAAAATTAATTGTCTGTAAAGATAACTGGAACATTCATAGGCCAGGAAAGGTGTGACTGAAGTCTTTCTCTTCCACAAACCTTTAGACTGGAAAAAATCCTACTGAGTGACAGTTTCATGCATTAAAGCAAACAGAAGCATTGTAAAAACTCCACATTCTCACAAATACATATAATAATTAGTACCCGTTATTGTTATCTATGGGTAGAGACTTCAGTATCCAGAGCCAGCTTTCTGGGAAGTCACTTCTGGACATTATATCCTCATAGGGAGAATAGTAGTCATCATCATCACCTAAAGAAAAGAGCAAATGGTAAATTAAGGATTTCAATGCAGAGTTTCATTGTCTCTAAGTTAAAAGATTTTGGTTTACATTTTACATTCCAGAAGGAAAAATGATACAGAATGAGTCAAATTGTGTCAAGTAAGGAGTGAGCCTGTACTACCCTATTCCTGTTTCTCAGTTGAGTCTCTTCAACATATTGAATCTGTTCAACATATTTCGAAGACCAGCTTTGCCAAAAAAAAAAGCACAATTGGGCAAGCCACATAAATAGTGCTTACAAGAGCAGGTGAAAGAAGTTTGGAAACTCTGCAGGAAGTAATTCATCTTCTGACTCCCCAGACCTGTCCACCATTTTCAAGGCACAAGTTAGGAGGGAGATGGAATAGTCCCTACCTGACCTGAGCTCCAAAAGCACTCACAAAGCTTGACACCATCCAAATAAAGCAACTCTGACTGAATCCCATCTACCCACCTTAAACTTTCACTCCCTCCACCATTGGTGGACTGTAGCAACTGTGTCCACCATTTACGAGATGCTCTGTGCTAACTCTCAAAAGTTCCTTCCACCAGCTCCTCCCAAGCCTGCAATCCCGACACTCCACAAGACTTGAAAATATATCAAGCACTTCTGTGCTGTGATTAGATCAAAATCTTGGAAATCCCTTCCCAACAGCACCCTGGATGGACATATGCCACATTTACTGCAATTCAAGAAAGATGCTCATGAGTGGGTCATTCTCACAGATAATTAAGGGTGAGCAATAAATGTGACTTTTCCTGTGACATCCATATCCCCTTAATTTAACAAAACGTCCTTAACTATTTCACCAATGCATAGATGACTGTTGCTATCTCTAATCTACTGTTTTACCTTTTCTAAAAATAAAATGTATGCTGAACTAACTTCTCTACCGTTTCCAATCCTCATTAATATTTGCTCCCTGTTGTTTCGTATTCTCAAAACATCTTGCTTGAATTATTATTGTATGATGTCATAAGGCCAAGTGATTGGAATATATTCAGGAAAGAGATTTTCTTGAGAAGTTAAAGGCATCATGGGGTATGGGGTGGGGAACTGAGGAATATGGCGTTGAGATAGAGGATTGTCCATGAGCATATTGAAAGGCTGAATGCCTACATCTTCTCCTATATTCTAAATTGCTAGCTTTGTAATTTAACCAGCATAATGCAAAGATTAGAAAGCTCCTCTTGGATGGGCAGTACTGACTTAGCCACATCACATTCAGTCCTATTGCAGTCGCTGAAACCAAATATGGGTGAGGGAGTACACCAGCAGCCATCCAGATGTATCCTGATAATTGTCCCAAAACACAAACAAACAAAATCTCCACCCCAACATCTCTCCTTTGCAAGGCAGGAAATAGCTTCCTTTCACCTTCAAAAGTGCTCAACACTTCACATTTTTAAGCATTCACCTGGCATTTTGCGAAAGAAAAAATACTATTTCAGTTTACTTCTGGAAATAGTTGGAGCTTACTTCTTGCTAAAGTCATTTGACTACGCTTCTGCAGATCCTTAAATTTTTGGATGTGGTTGCAACAGTCCAGGAAGGCGGCTTTACAGTCTTCCCGTTGTGTTATTCTCCTTGCTCTGCGTGCACATGAAAACCCCATGGGGTTTCGTTTCATTCCATCGTTGCAGCATTTATTTAATATTTTCGCCTTGTACTGATTCACTAAAGTAGAAAGATACAATGATTCAACTAGAAAAGGGAAATCCTCAAAGTTGTAGCTGTGTGCCTGAAAATCACTACTTTAATTGTAATAATTAAGGGCTGAATCTGAAGCTTTTTATTGGCTAATTCCGAATCGCTTTGATACCCTCGATAATTTTTCACCAGGAAACCGAGCAAGTTCACGCGTCGCATGTTACCAAAGTCGCCTCATTAATTACACCACCCCATAGTGCCTCTCACGTTTCAGTTTCCGCTCTCTCTTACCCATGCCCCAATCCCTTGAGGACGGCTGGTTAGTTCAGTTGGCTGGATGGCGGGTTTGCAATGCAGGGTGAGGCCAACAGCGCGGGTTCAGTCCCTGCAACAGCCAAAGATCGCTCCTTCTCACCCTCTGCCTCAGATGGTGTGGTGCCCCTCAGATTGAAGCACCAACACCGTCATGTCTCTCTCCAATGAGAGATAGTGTCCCAATGCAACCTGGCGACTTTACTTCCATCTACAATAACTCACCACTCAGTGGATACCCACAGATACACCAGGTCCCCCTCCCACCTGTGCCACCTTTAGAAGCGTGCTGTGCACCTGGGTGGGCACTGGCATTCTGAAGCCATCCGACTCAGTCAAGGATGGAGTCTGAGCATGGCAGAGAAGGGGATAGATTGCAGCACGATTATCCAATGGGGACATGCATGTTCCAATAGACAGGGTGCTACCAGAGGAGAAGCCATACCATCAAACTCTGCCAGCCCAGTCTGAGGTCACCACCCAGGTCAGTGCCATCTCCAGGGTGCAGCCAAACAAGCAGCAATGCAGAAAGAAGGTGGCGAGCTTCTAGGGTTCAGTGCCACTCTCATCTCTCTGCGACCTCACATTCACTCTACCTCTGCTACTGCACCCATTTCTCACCCAGGCGCATGCTCTGACACTCTCACTGTTGCATGCAACATCCCTATTATACCTGTCTCATACGACGACGCCCCCACCATTCACAATTGCATTCCACCACTGCTCGTAGGAAGACTAACATGCCAACATCTCCACCAATGCCTGGCGTGGGTGTGGTATTGATGTAGCATCCTGCCACATAGCAAAATGTACACCCACTTTGACTGAGGACCCCGGACCAGCAAGGTAAGCTGCCTGCATTTGTGCCCACGCTAATACAGCACAGGAGGAGGTCCTTCAGCCCATCGTGTCCATGCCGGCCAACAAACATCAATCTATTCTAATCCTGTTTTCCAGCACTTGCGTTTTAGAGAGAGAAAACATGAAGTATCCAAAACAATGTCCACAACATGCACTGTTCTAACCAAATTTTAGTAAAATTTTAGTTGGGCTAATATTATAGGTTAAAAAGCTCCCATCAGAATGACCCTTACTAAGATGATTAATCGCAATGCATTCTTTACTAAATCAAAAACACATACATTTAGCGATCTTAACATCCATAAGTCTTGTTGCACGACGTCTACGTTTCATTGGCTGTTTGCACTTCAGGTCTGTTGAAGAGATTGGAGATAGATGTTAAAATATGAGTTGCAGTCCAGCAGTTTCAAACAAAGTTGACGCACGGTATGCATTTTACAAACACAATTGCATTCACTTTATGCCTCCATCATACTGTTTTTGGAATAAAAACCGAAAGAACTGCGGATGCTGTAAATCAGGAACAAAAAACAGAAGTTGCCGGAAAAGCATCTGTGAAGGAAAAAGCAGAGTTAATGTTTCGGGTCCGGTGACCCTTCCTCAGTACTGCACTCTGAGTTCTGAGGAAGGGTCACCGGACCCGAAACGTTAACTCTGCTTTTTCTTCACAGTTTTTGGAATGTTGACTATCAGGAATATCAGTGTTGGGGGTGGATTTAAGATGGAATAAGTGCAATGTAGATGTGTATTGTTAACCTGAACTAGACTTCAGCACAGTTCCGGCACTGTGCATTAAACCATTATCTCATTCATCCTCTACCACAAGTTATTGCTGTAAATAGAATTTCAATATCACCTTTACGAGTTGCAGAAGTTAATTCAACGAGTGCTTCCCGGAAACAGTACCTGTTCTTGTAGCCGTCTTGAGGTTGCTGTTTGTTACAATTGTTAATCCTGCATCTGTGAAAACACCAAGAACATCACTGCCACTTCCAGGCGTGCAGCCGATGTCATTCTTCTCCACAATGTCCCAGATCTGCAGGAAATACACACAAAGCCGCTACGTGAACCAGACCGGATTAACAAGGTGATGTTGTTACTGCGATAACAAGGTGTAGAGCTGGATGAACACAGCAGGCCAAGCAGCATCATAGGAGCAGGAAGGATGAAGTTTCGGGTCTAGAACCCTTCATCAGAAAGGGTCGAGGCCCGAAACGTCAGCTTTCCTGCTCCTCTGATGCTGCTTGGCCTGCTGTGTTCATCCAGCTCTACACCTTGTTATCTCAGATTCTCCAGCATCTGCAGTTCCTACTATCTCTGATGTTGTTACTGTCCCCACTTCTCTCCGGTCGGAGAGTCAGTGGTGGAGCAAAAATGTTCCCAAACTGAGGAAAGGACACCACAGACAGTGGAAATCTGAAAGAGCAGGGAATACTGTGCCAGCATACAGCCCAGTGTCTGTAACAGACGTACCACCTCCAAAACTGCCAAAAAGCAGTTCAATAACCCTAACAGTACAAGCATATTTCAGACAGATGTAGACAATTTATCGAATTAAGATCTCTTGTTCCCTTTTCATTCCACATTTTGCCAAATGAGATTGCCAGTACAAAGTCCAGCATGGAGCCCTCAGATATTGTCCTACTATTTGTCCTGATTTCTGAGTGTGACTTGAGAAAGAGTCCTAGTAGCAGTGTGCTCCAGCACACAGAAGCAAAGTCCATAATTCTTTACTCAGTCATTTTCCTCTGCCGCTTTTTTAATAAATGGGTGCTAGCAAACTGCGTCATTTAAACTGTGGCACACTCTGAAGGGCTGGTGGATGTAATTTCTTTCTTTTTAATTCTCTTGTAGGACATAGGCATCCTGGCTGGGCCAGTATTTATTGCCCATCCCTAGTGGTGAGCTGCCTTCTTGAACCACTGCAGTCTGTGGGCTACAGATTGACCAAAAATGCCCGGTGGGAGGAGGTGCCAGGATTTTGGACCAATAACACTGAAAGAATGGCGACATATTTCCAAGTCAGGACGGTGAGTGGTTTGGAGGGGAACTTGCAGGTGGTGGTGTTCCCATGTATCTGCTGCCCTTGTCCTTCTAGAGAGAAGTGGTTGTGGGTTTGCAAGGGGCGGCCTAAGGATCTTTGGCGAATTTCTATGGTATTTCTTGTAGATAGCGCACACTGCAGCTCCTGTGCGTCGGTGCTGGAGGGAGTGCTGTAAATTAAAGAACTTGCCATTCCCCTTTGAAGCTCAATGTACTTTATTAAAGAGTATTGAAGTGTGCACCTGTTCTCCACTTTCATCTGTTTTACAAGGCTGGTAGGTGTAGGGAATGCTGGATGACTAGAGAAATCAAGGTTTTGGTCAAGAATACAAAGGAAGCATATGTCAGTTATTGACAGCAGAGATCGAGTGAATCCCTGGAAGAGTATAAAGGCAGTAGCAGTATAGTTAAGAGGCAATTCAGGAGGGCAAAAAGGGGACATGGGATAGCTTTGGCAAATAGAGTTAAGGAGAATCCAAAGGGATTCTACAAATACATTAAGGACATAAAGGTAACTAGGGAGAGAATAGATCCCCTTAAAGATCAGCAAGGCTGCCTATGTGTGGAACTGCAGGAGATGGGGTAGTTACTAAATGAGTATCTTGCATCAGTATTTACTGTGGAGAAGAATATGGAAATAGAGAACATGGGGAAACAAATTGTAACATTTTGAAAACCATCTGTATTACAGAAGAGGTGGTGCTGGACATCTTAAAACGTATAAAGGTGGATATTTACAATGATGTTGCCAGGGTTGACCGATAGGGAGAGGCTGGATAGGCTGGGGCTATTTTCCCTGGAGGATCAGAAGTGTCACTTACACCAGAGACGCAACCTTCACTTCCACCTATGTGACCATCCCCATAAACACACCCACTCCTGAGACCGTCTCCACCCCCATTCCCAGCTCCAGCTCTACATGTAGTCCCAGCCCCAGTCCCCAGCCCTGCTGGGTATTCACCATCCTTCCCAGACTTTTCCCTCACTGAGGGACGAACGGTCAGTCCTCAGTAAAGGACTCACCTTCATCCCCCTCTGCCCACACATCAATGAATACCGCTCACACTTGGACGTCGAACAGTTTGTCCGCTGCCTCTGCCTCCGCGCTTATGTCTTTAACCGTGATTCTAACCCCCCCCTCTACAGACCCCTTCTCCCACCTTCAACAAACCCCATCCTCCTGAGCACCACCCCAAGGCCTCCTACCATCCCTCGACCTCTTCATCTCCAACTGCCATCGCGACATCGATCGCCTGAATCTCTCCACCCCGCTCCCCCACTCCAACCTCTCCCCCACAGAACGCGCAGCCCTCCGCTCTCTCCGTTCCAACCCCAACCTCACTATAAAACCCGCGGACAAGGGTGGCACAGTTGTGGTATGGCTAACTGACCTCTACATCACTGAGACCAGGCGCCAACTCTTTGACACCTCCTCCTACCACCCCTTTGATCATGACCCCAACCCTGACATCTCCCAGACCATCCATAACCTCATCACCTCAGGAGACCTCCCACCCACAGCCTCCAACCCTGCACTGCCAGTTTCTATCTCCTTCCCAAAATTCACAAACCCGTCTGCCCCAGCCGACCCATTGTCTCTGCCTGCTCCTGCTCCATTGAACTTATCTCCACTTAGCTAATTCTATCCTTACCCTCCAGTCCAGGAACTCCCCACCTACATTCAGAACACTACCCACGCCCTCCACCTCCTCCAGGACTTTCATTTCCCCAGACTCCTAAATCTCACCTTCACCATTGACATCCAGTCCCTCTATACTTGCATTCCCCATGCAGGTGGCCTAAAAGCCCTCCGCTTCTTCCTCTCCTGTAAGTCCAACCAGTCCCCCTCCACCAACACCCTCATCCACTTGGGGAACTTGTCCTTAGCTCCTCTCACTTCCTACAGACTAACGGGGTGGCTATGGGCACCCATATGGGTCCAAGCTACGCCTGCCTCTTCGTAGGAAATGTGGAACAGTCCCTCTTCCACTGTTACACTGGCACTATCCCACACCTCTTCCTCCGCTACATCGATGACTGTATCAGCACCACCTCGTGGTCCCATGAGGAGCTTGAACAATTCACCCCGACCTCAAATTCACCGGACCATCTCCAATACTTCCCTCTTCTTCCTGGACCTCTCTGTCTCCATCTCCGGTAACCGCCTCAACACCGACAAGCCCACCAACTCCCACAGCTACCTTGACTACACCTCCTCTCACCCACCCTCCTGCAGGAATGCGATCACTTAATCCCAATTCCTTCGCCTCTGCCACATCTGTTCCCAAGATAGAGAGTGCCACTCCCGTACATCCCAGATGTCCTCCTATTTCAAGGACCACAACCTCCCCCCTCCGGTGATCGAAAATGCCCTCAATCACATCTATTGCATTTCCCGCACTTCTGCCCTCACACCCCCTCCCTACAACAAAAATAAAGACAGAATCCCCCTGTTCCTCACATATCACACCCCCAACCTCCATATCCAGTGTATCATCCTCGACCACTTCCACCACCTACAACCCGACACCACAACCAAAGAGATATTTCCCTCCCCACCCTTATCTGCCTTTCGTAGGGACCGCTCACTCTGCAACTATCTCGTCAGCTCCACACTTCCCACTAACCCCACCACCCCCAGCACTTTCCCCGCAACCGTGGGGAGTGCTACACCTGCCCTACACCTCACCCCACACCTCCATCCAAGGTCCAAGACAAATTTTCCATATCCAACAGGGATTCACCTGTGCATCCTCCAACCTGGTTTACTGTATCCGTTGCTCCCAATGTGGCCTCCTCTACATCAGTGAGACCAAGCGCAGACTCGGTGACAGATTCATGGATCATCTGCGCTCTGTACGCAATAATCAACAAATCCTTCCGGTCACTAACCATTTTAACTCCCCCTCCCACTCCCTGGGTGACATGTCCATCCTCCAGTGCCGCAATGACACCACCCGCAAACTGGAGGAGCAGCACCTCATATTCCGCCTCGGGAGCCTACAGCCTGATGGACTAAACATGGAATTCACCAGTTTTAAAATCTCCCCACCCCCAGCCTCATCCCACATCCAACCCTCCCACTCATCCCACTTCCTTGACCTAACACAACCTGTCCATCTTTTTTCCACACCTATCTGCCCCACCTTTCCACTAATCCCTACCAACATCCACCTATCACCATCCGCCTACCTTTCCCAGCCACACCCCTCTTTCCTCTATTTATTTCCCAGCTCCCTGTCCCATTCTCATTCCTGAAGAACGGTCTCAGCCCGAAACATTGACTCTCCTGCTCCTCTGATGCTGCCTGACCTGCTGTGTTCCTCCAGCTCCATATTGTATCGACTCGGGGGTGACTTTATTGTCGTTTATAAAATCATGAGGGGCATGGATAGAGTAAATAGTCAATGTCTTTTTCCTACGGTAGGGGAGTTCAAAACTGGAGGACATAGGTTTAAGGTGAGAGGGGTAAGATTTAAAAGGGACCAAGGGGCAACATTTTCAAGCAGAGGGTGGTGTGTGTATGGAATGAGCTGCCAGAGGAAGTGGTGGAGGCTGGTACAATTACAACATTTAAAAGGCATCTGGCTGGGAATATGAATAGGAAGGGTTTAGAGGGATATAATTACTGACCATTTTGTTTTCAAATAAGCAGGTTAACTTTAAAACATTGAGCCAAGAAATACAAATCAAGTTAAGTTTTCACTCATTATTAAACACTAACCGTGCTTTCTCGACTTTAAAGCTTAGAAATATATCAGGAAGTACTTGCCTTGCTCTGCGTCAATTTATTTTTCTTATTCAACATGAACACAGCTTTATCCACAGCAACGAGACCAACTGTTGCCCCAGAGTCACCTGTGATTTTCAGTTGAAACTGTTTGCCAGGTTTGTAAATCTTATTTTCATCGTGTTTGTTTGCAGCAGACACTACCAACTGTGAAGAAATGTATGTCAGTCTGAAATATTCACAAACACCAGATTACTTTTGATTGGTGCAGCTCATTACTGCTGGAATTTGAGATCTGAAGTACCAAAATTTTAGAATTAAAAGAACAAAACAATACAGAAAGAGATTGTTCAGCTTTATTCATTTGTAAGAATTATTCAGCTCGGCCAACTCCTTCTGTTCTGACGTCCTACCCCGGTAAACTTTCCCCTTCAAGTATTCACAAATTCTCTCTTTAAATTTAATGCTTTCGCCATCTGCTACATCAGCAGCTCTGTCTAGCTATTATAAACTCAGTCCCTTCGTCCAAGATATTAATAAAGGTCATAGTTGATGACCCAGCACTGAGCCATGTAGCCCTTTACCAATTAAGTTTGCCAACATGAAAATGGAACACTTAGCCTGACTCTCTGTTTCCTATAAGTGATCATTAGTCTATCCATGCTCATATTATCCCTAATTCCATGGTGCCTTGTATTTTTTAGAACCCTTAGTAACATTTCATTATTTTTATTTTTATTCTTTTATCAAGTTTAGTTTGGAGCTGTGAACTGTGAGCTGAAGATGACCTTTGGACTGTGGGCAGCATCATGTGTTTTTAAAAAGGGACAAAAAAGGCTGTTGTTTGTTTGTGAGGCCAGGCCTGAGAGTAAATTGCAGGTTGGTTCTTGATCAAAGTGCCCCATGGATGCTTCAACACCAGGGATAGCAGATGTTTAGCCATTAATGTGATCATTACCTGGGAACTGGTGCCAGCAAGTCCAGGAGAGAACATATTGGTCAAACAGATGGAGATATTAGAGTGTTTTAAATTTTTTTTGGACTGGGTTGCTGCGAGAAGGAATTTGACTATTGATGCTACGCATCAAGATTTGAAAGTTCTCTGCTTTACCTCCCATTATCAGTCCTTGGAAGTTCAGAGGATAGAAACTAAGTTATAAGTATTACTGACTTCTTCAGAGTGAACTGAAAAGGGGGCCCTGATCAATGTCTTCAGAAAATCAATCAATAAACAATCGTAATTGCCTGTGGAACAATACATCATGAGCCTAAGTAATCTGATCAGTGTTGTTAGTTTATTTATCCCTTAAATCTGTTCTTTTGTCCCTCTGACTTTTGTGTGAATATGGCTAAAGACAAAGGTTATTGGGTTTAAATCATAGACATAATTAGATTTCTTTGTTGTTTCATTTTGCTGCGCTAAAGTTTCTGTATTTGTTAATAAATAGTTAAATATTTTCTTTAAGCTACAAGCCCTGGGTCAAGAATTGATTATTCACAGAGTCTGGGATTGGTCATTTAAAAGATTTGTTTAGGTATCATTTTGAGGATCTTTGCAGATTTTAATTTGATCGTGTTACAAATACAGAGGTAGGAAGGCTGATTCGATTTGGTTGTCTGTCTCCATGTCATAACATATTACAGAGTAACCTTTAATATGGCACCCTATCAAATGCTTTCTGGAAATCCAAATACAATACTTCTATGTGGGTCTCCTTTATCCAGTTCACTTGTAAACTACTCAGAGAAAACTAATAAATCTTACATAAAACAACAGTGACTCTGCCTGATATTGTCACGGTTGTCTAAATGTCCTGCTACTATTTCTGTAGTAACACATGCTGTCATTTTCACAGTGACAGATGTTGTGCCAACTAGTTTGGCTTTGTGTTTTCTTTCTCCTTCACTTCTTCATCCAATTTCTCAGTGCTGGGGCTGTGTGTGAAAATGTTGCGGATTTCTAACCCAAAGAAATCCATCAGAAAACAAGAATACTCACTTTTCCCATGCATGTGTCTTTCACATCAACCCATACAGAATCAGCAACGATTTCTATTGCTGGTCCCTTTGTCAGGTAGTAATAGACCAGCAGTCTGAAGGATGGTATTAAGTCAGGAGTGACTGGAATGAGCATGTTCACCACAATTTGGCCAACCTCCCTTGGCTGTCGTCCAACTGCCACAATCTTTCCTTTGTTTATCAACTGGTTAAAAGGAAGTGAAAATAAGTTGAGGAATATAGAAGTAGGTTAAAGTACAATAGATCATTTTGAAGCAACCTAAAACAGAGAATTATGAAGAAACCTCAGCAGACATGTGGAGAGAGTAACAGAGGTAACATATCAAGTCCGGTGGGTCACTGAACTCAAAACGTTAACTCTGTTTCTCTCTCCACAAGCGCTGCCAGGTCCTGCTAAGTTTCTCCATAACCCTCCATTTTAGCTTGTTTCAGATCTCCAGCATCCACAGTCCTTTGTTTTATTTTAGATCATTTTGAAGATCTGTGGATGCCTTTATAAGAGAAAAGGCCTTTATTGCATTTCAGAAACCTCGCTACATGAAGTAACTGAAAAAGTAAACAGTATACGTGCCAGTAAAACAGCTTAATAAAAACTATAAATATATACTTTTTACAATTAAATTCTTACAATTCCAAATCATATTAATGAATAGCCATGTCTGTTTTAGCAGAGGGGAAGCAAATCAAATTTTGAACAAAAACAAAGTTGCTGGAAAAGCTCAGCTCTGGCAGCAACTGTGAAGGTAAAAACAGAGTTAACGTTTCGGGTCCGGTGACCCTTCCTCAGAACTCAGTCAAATTTTAAACTACCCAAAGGTTTTGTGCACTTTGAAAGGGATGGCAGAAATGATTTTGGGGGTAGAATGTACTATACTGTCGTTCTTGGAATACCAGAACCTGCTGTTGATCCATGGCTAACACTTATTTTCCCACACAAGATCTCATATTGATCCTCCACCCAACCATCAAGGATATCAAACCACCTACTCCAAAACCCTTCCTTGTAATGGCGCTAGGCTGAGCCAGAAGCAAAAGCAAAATGAAAAATGATGGAAATACTCGGGATGTCGGGCAGCATTTGTGGAGAGATACAACGTTAAGATATCCTGGAGAGAGGAAGTCTGTGAGAGGAGATCTGATTGAGGTTTTCAAAATCATGAGTGGACTAGATAGAATAGATAGTGTGAAGCTGGCCCCACAAGAAACAAGGACGAGAGGATATTGGTTTAAAGTGATGTGTAAATGAAGCAAGGCTGATGTGGGAAAAAGAACTTTTTCCACACAGTGAGTAGTTAGGAATGCAATGGTCTGCTGGAAATACGGTGGGGGCAGGATCGATTGAGACACTTCAGAGGGCACGGTATTCGGCTAGTAATGGTGCGCAGCGATACAGGGAAAACGCAGGAGGATTACGTTTGGTAATGGAAGCAGTGCAGACACAATGGGCTGATTGGCCTCCTTCTGCATCATAATAATTCTGTGATTTGAGGCTGATGACCTCAATGAAGAGACAACAACATTGCTTCTCTCCACAGACGCTGCTGCCCATTGTTCTGTTTATTACACGTTTTCAGCATTTCCAAAATTTTTGTATCAGACTTAACCAGACATGGCAACTTTACCTGCTATTGTACTCCGAGATGATCTTCCAAGCAATATTCTCTCTGTCAGAAAGAGCCCTACTTCTCACATTATAACATAGGCAGGAGACTGTATTGGAATTTAAATACTATTTATCAAACACTCAGGACACCATAAAGTAATGGATTAATTAAGTGTTTTTGTATTGTAATCACTGTTGTAATGTAGAGGGAATATTATCACCGATTTGCAGACATAAAGACCATACCTATGGCAATGAGTATCTGAATAGATAATGTTCTTTCGAGGCATAAGTATTGGCTACAGCACCTCTACTTTCTTCAGACCAAAGGAAGGTTCACTTTCAACCTGCATTTGAGTGGACAGACAAGGCCTTGGATAAACACCATCCCAAAATCTACATCATGAAGACTTTTTGATTCCATCTTTCTTCTCATGCAGAATGAATATTCAGCTCCTGTTCCATCATCCAATTCTGCGTTTTAACATAGCGCCAGAGAGTGGTGACACTATACAACACTAAACTCTTTTACTGTATTTTGTAACAAATACATGTAACAATAATAAACAAATCAAACAAGTTAATTCATTCAGGGCTAACAGATCTCCACCTCTTGTGCTTAAGTACATAAACTTTAATACCCATAATTCCAGAAAAAAAGCTCGCTTGTGAAAACTGGACTTGTATCAGGAATGCATAAGAATCTCACGAATTGGAGGAACTTCCATAAATACAAGCGCTGGTAATAACAAGCTGTAGAACACAGAGGTGGAACCAGGGGACCAGATATTGTCATTATTGACATCCTTATATCTGTGGACATGCAGAAAATCAAATGTTTTGGAGATAGGGTAGCCTCATATGGTGCACTTGATGCTCCATTTATCCTGTAGTTATTGCAATTGATTCTTTCCGCCTCATATTCAGATGGTTTCTGCGTTACATATGTCTTGAGGAATGGATCCTATGTTCCAACATAGATGGAGGTGGTCTCGAATCTATGGCAATAGGTGTGACTTTCATGTTTGTAGGGAATAGTTGGGATTCCACCCTCGCTAGATACCTTTCGATCTAAGAGGCAATTTCAAGTTCAAGTGATCTCCATCTAACAATAATAGGAAGCTGTAGGAAAGCATTACTAGCAAATGTCCGTTGCACGTAAGCGCATCTTGCAATTGCGCTCGGCCAGGGGTTCACGTCTGTTTGCCTGTCAGTGAATACTCTCACTCTTTGCAGATTTCAAGGGGAACAACTTAGACAATCAAAGGACAAAATGCCTTCTCAATCCCATCGTACAGAGTGCATAAATTCCCATTGTCAGAGGTGGCTTGGTTTTCTTAAGATAAAGAGGTTAGATTTCACTGAAACCTCCCCCAGACAGCTGAAAGACTCGCAAAAAGAATCTTGGAGCATAGATATGGGATAATTTGCAAGGTAAGTGCACAAAGAGTTACAGAGTCAAGGTGAATGAATGTAGCTAGGTTACAGATCAGCTATGATTTCTCTAAATGGAGGCATAGATCCTGAATGTCTTCCTGTTGCTATGTTCCCACATTCTGATGCACCATGCACAATCAGCTCAGTTGCTTATCCCTACTGGAGACCTATGCACGTATCCTAGGACCCCAACTTGTATAGGAAATAGTTCTACTACCTGGCACCCTCAGGAGGCTCAGCCTAGAACCCTTGGAAGAAACAGTGATAAGTCAGCCTGACTCCACTGTAAATTTTATACAGGTGTGAGGAAAGCCACAGGTCAGAGTTAGAGCTAGTAGGAACTACAGATGCTGGAGAATCTGAGATAACAAGGTGTAGAGCTGGATGAACACAGCAGGCCAAGCAGCATCAGAGGAGCAGGAAAGCCGACGTTCCGGGCCTAGACCCTTCTTCAGAAAAAGAGTTAGCACTGCTGCCTCACAATGCCAGGGATCCAGGTTCAATCCCAGCCATGGGTGACTGTCTGTGTAGAGTTTGCAATGGCTCCCTGTGTCTCTGTGGGTTTCTTCTGGATGCTCCGGTTACCTCCCACAATCCAAAAGTGCGGAGGTTAGGTGGATTTGCCATGCTAAATTGTGTGTTGCATCGAAGGATGTGCAGTTGAAGTGGATTAGCCATTGAAAATGCAAAAGACAGGGGCTGGAGCTGGATGGGATGCTCTTCGGAGGGTTGGTGCAAACTCAATGGGCCAAGTCGCCTCTATCTGCTCCCTAGGATTTATAATTCTGTGATTCAGAGCTAACCTGCACCAGAAAAACAGATTGGGACAAATTTCTGCATAGAACGTGTTTTTAATTTTATTCATTCACACAACATGGGTGTTACTGGCTGGACAATCACTTAGTGCCAATCCCTAACTGTTAAGACTCACATGTATGTTGGCAATGCTCTTCTCTGAAGGAACCAGCTTGCTTTTACAACAACAGTAATGATTAGACTCTTAATTCCAGGTTTACCTGGATCTCTGGATTAATAGTCGAGCAATATTACCACTAGGCCATCACTTTTTACTTCATATTCCTTTAAAAAATTCAGTAAAGTTAATACTTTATAGAGGAGGTGATGCCCTAGTGGTATTGTTGCTGAGCTGTTAATCCAGAGACCCGAGAAATGTTCTGGAGATCCGGGTTTGAATCCAGTCATGCCCTGGCATCCTGGATGGTGGAATTTGAATCTAATAAACATCTGGAATTAAGAGTCTAATGATGGTCCATTGTTGATTGTCAGAAAAACTCATCTGGTTCACTAATGCCCTTTCGGGAAGAAAACTACCATCCTTACTTGGTCTGGCCTACAAGTAGCTCCATACCCATAGCACTCTTAACTGCTTTCTGGGCAAATATGGGTGGGCAATAAATGTTGTCCCGGCCAGTGATGCCCACATCTCGTGAATAAATTAACAAAAAAAAAATCCATGAGTTATAAGAATACACAACCCCAATGGACATCTCCTCCCTACATAATTGATCGCCTTTTAAACTGAGCACCCTTGAACCGTCTCTATAAAAATTTCAGAACAATAAGACATGACTAACAGAACAGAAAACATACCATGTAGCTGAAATACTTTATCTGGTTCTGGATATCTGCATTGTCATTACGGAGACTGAGATGAACTACTAAATTACTTCCAGGATTTAGTTCTGCTGGTTGAATACCAATGTGCAAGTAGTTTACTGAACCACCTTGCGTCTTATATGGTTGCGCCACCATACTTGCAGAGGCCTGACGATTTTTAGGAGTATTGGCAACATTTGTTTCAACCTGTAAGTGGGGAAATGAACAAACCAGAAGCAACACTGCTGTCAGTTAGTCACATTGAAATAGCAAACATTTACTAAAGTGAGATGAATTTCCCATATTAGGTATAAAATCAACGGGGGGAGGTTGCTACACGAATTGAGATACGTGGCTCTCCAATTCTGGCCTCCCAACCCATCATGATTTTAATCATGCCACTACCTCTGGGCATGTCTTAGCTGCCAAGGTCCAAAGGTCTGGAATCCCTCCCTCTGGGATTCAATCCCTCACTAAATCAAGATAAGTTCTGTGCCCAGGAAATTAACCAGGAGCCCAAGTGTGTTCCAATACATTACTTTTCAAAGATTAATTTTATACAATTTAGATCTGATATTCTGAAGTCTTCAAATGAATCCATACCACAATTGTTAATTAAATCATTCATTGTCATAAAGTATTGAATATTCTCTTTGTGACCAGAGAAGGTCAAGGGGAAATTTAATAGGTGCATTCAAAATTATGAAGGGTTGTGATACAAATTAGGAAGGGCTGTGATAGAGTCAGTAATGAAAGACTGTTTCCATAGGTGGAACCAGAGATTGTAAATTTAAGATAGTTGTAAAGAAATGAAATGAGATTGTTCTCTATATTGTGAATAATTACAATATGGAATTAACTCCCTGAAATTAGAAGTAAATGGTAGAAATAGATTCAATATGTGATGATACATTGGCTTTAAAAAGTGTATTTTGTCTTGGATCTTTCATGAAGAAAGATTGAGACAGAGGTGGCAGTCTACTCAGAGCCAAAAAAAAGTAAACAGGTTGTGGTTTTTTTTTTTAAGTTAGAACAATAGACGCAGCCTAAATGGGTAGATTCAAGCTCCTATAGAACCAGTTTTTGGTTTTAGTTTTCAGTAGAAGTTGCTGCTGAGGTATTGAAGCTGGGTGTGGATGCTGTTTTTCCTCTCTCTGTTACAGCTAAAAGCTGGGAGTTCTCCTCCTGCTGCTAGAATTGCATGAGAGACAATCAATTTTACTGAATTTGCCTTTGCCAAGGGTGTGTTTATGGGAACCATCAGGGTTTGTTATGTAGACCTCAGATAAAGAAAAAAGCGATAAAACAATCTTTATCCTATTTCTCATGTAGCAAAGATACGTAGTTAAGGAGTAGAAAGAAAGGGTGAAATAAATGGAGAGGTTTGTACCATTAAATCAAATGGCATTCCAGGATTGTAATACTTGGAAGTCTTGGTGAATGATATGGTATACGGGGAGGTGACTATTTTTATTCCTAATTTTTTTGCTTCAATTATGTCACTGCCCAAATCAGAAATCAAAAATTACTATATTGGAATAGTTACTGATTAATAGACTCAGAGCACAGAAACAGACCCTTCAGTCCAACCTGTCCATGCCAAATTAAACTAGTCCCACCTGCCTACCCCCCAGCCCACATCCCTCCAAGCCTTTCCTATTTATGTACTTATCCAAATGTCTTTTAAATGTTGTAATTGTACCCACATCCACCACTTCCTCAGGAGGTTCATTCCACACATGACCCACAGTCTTTGTAAAAAAATTGCCCCTCATATCTTTTTAAAATCTCCCTCCTTTCATCTTAAAAATGTGTCCTCTATTCTTGAAATCCACCATCCTAGGGAAAAAGACAACTACTATTAACCCTATCTATACCCTTCATTATTTTATAAACTTCTATCAGGTCACCTCTCGATCTCCTACACTCCAGTGAAAATAGTCCCAGCCCATCCAGCCTTTCTTTATAACTCAAACCTTTCATTGCGGCAACATCCTGGTAGAGGAGACAATAAGGACTGCAGATGCTAGAAGCCAGAGTCTGTAGGTGTGAAGCTGGAAAAGCACAGCAGGTCAGACAGCATTCAAGGAGCAGGACAGTCAACATTTCGAGCTGAAACCCTTCATCACTCCTGACTCCATCATCCTGGTGAATGTCTTCTGAACCCTCTCCAGCTTAGTATCATTCCTATAACTCGGCAACCACAAGAAGAAGCCTCACCAATGTCCTGTACAATCTAAACATGACTTCCCAACTCCTATACTCAAAGGACTGAGCAATGAATGCAAGCATGCCAAGCATCTTTTTTACCACCCTGTCTGTATGTGACGCAAACATCAAACAATTATGTACCTGAACTCCTAGGTCCCTCTGTTCTACAACACTACCAAAGGTCCTACCATTAATTGTTTAAACCCTACCCTTGTTTGTTGTACCAAAATGCAATAGCTCACATGAATCCAGATTGAACTCCATCTACCATTTTTCAGCCCATTTGATCACAATCCCTTTGTAACCTTAGAAAACTTTCTTCAATGTCTAGTGTGCCACCAATTTTGGTGTCATCCACAAACTTACTAACCATGCCTTCTACATTCTCATCCAAATCATTTTTTTAAATGACAAGCAAAAGTGGACCCAGAACCGATCCCTGTGAAAAACCGCTGGTGACTGGACTCCAGTCTGAAAAACAACCCTCCACTACCACTCTCTGTCTCCTGCCATCAAACCAATTGTGAATCCAATTGGCAAGCTCACCCTGAATCCCATGTGACCTAACTTTACAAAGGATTCAGGGTGAGCTTGCTAAGTGGATATATAATTGGCTTAATGACGAGAGAAAGAGAGTAGTTAAATAATCTATTATTCTGTTAAGTTTTCCAAGAGACTTAAGTTATTCCAATTCTTTCTTTTGTTGTACCTTAACTATAGTGGATGAATAAAGTGTGTTTTTCTTCAAGCCTGGTAGTTTGACCAATCGAATTGCATCTGGAATTCAGCGCCTTCCACTTACCTTTGAAATGGGAAAAAGTTAGGATCTAGGTTATCTTCTTAATATATTTTGAGGGGGTTTGGTATGATCTTTAACAAATAGTAACATTCAGAAAGGGCACTAGACATATATGTGAAAGGATGTAACTTGCAGGTTTAGAAGAAAGAGCATAATGATTGCACCAAACTAAGTGACTCCTTGGGACAACGAGGGCTCCCCTGTGCCTCATTGGCCTTATATTCAGTGTACTCACTTTTACTGCTAGAAGCTGTGACTCCCCAACTGTATTTAGTGTCAACCTGGCAAGACCATCATGTTGGGTTTTTGAATGGCTGTGCCCGCTATTGACTGTCACAGGGATTCCATTGGCTGGTGAACCATCAGGGTTTGTTACGTAGACCTTAGATAAAAAAGAAAGAGATAAAGCAATCTTCATCCTATTTCTCATGTAGTAAAGATACATAGTTAAGGAGTAGCGAGAAAGGCTGAAGTAAATGGAGAGGTTTGTACCATTAAATCAAATGGCATTCCAGGCTTATAATACTTGGAAGTCTTGGTGAATGATATGGTATACGGGGTGGTGACTATTTTAATTCCTAATTTTTCTGCTTCGACCATGTCACTACCTAAATCAGAAAGCAGAAAGAAATAAGAATAAACATACAGTGTTTTACCAAATATCAGAAGTGAAACATTTCTGTTGTGGGTTTATAAGATGGAACACAGTTACTGCCACTGATGTGCAGCTTTCACAAAAAATAAACAGGGAATAAGATTCCCAAAGTGATCTGAAATTACACAACAAACCAAACTGAGATTAAAGATTCATTGGGTTTACACTAATTGGTTTTGCAGTGAATTCATTACTTTTTCAAATGATAAATCATTTAAATTTTACTGGGGGACAGTTGGTCAGCAATGATGGAAAAGACAGCTACCATGAACTCTATCTATACCTCTCATTATTTAATAACCTTCTATCAGGTCACCTCTCAACATCCTACACTCCAGTGAAAGAGGTCCTAGCCTATCCAGCCTTTCTTCATAACTCAAACCTTCCATACCTAGCAACATCCTGGTAAATCTCTTCTGAACCCTCTCCAGCTTGATAATATCCTTCCTATTACAGGGAGACCAGAACTGGACACAGTATTCCAGAAAAGGCCTCATCAATGTCCTGTACAATCTCAACCTAATGTCCCAACTCCTGTACTCAAATAAAAACTGAGCAATGAAAGCAAGCGTGCCAAATGCCTTTTGAACCAACCTGTCTATATGTGACACAAACATCAAACAATTATGTACCTGAACTCCTAGGTCCCTCTGTTCTACACTACCAAAGGCCTACCATTAACTGTATAAGCCCTACCCTTGTTTGTTGTACCAAAATGCAATACCTTGCATTTATCCAGATTGAACTCCATCTGCCATTTTTCAGCCCATTGATCCATTTGATCACAATTCCTTTGTAATCTTAGAAAATCTTCTTCACTGTCTACAATGCCACCAATTTTGGTGTCATCCACAAACTTACTAACCATGCCTTCTATAAAAGGTTGGAGCAAAACATGACTGTGGGTGTTTTTTTTTTTGGACACAAGTTGCATTTTCCCAAATCTTTTCTTCTAAATTACTAGACATCACTGAGAACAATGAGTGGAAAAGACATCCATTATAAACGGGCACGGAAATGAGGAGAAATTGAGTAACTCTATAGTCGCTAGAATTTAAAAGATTGGCAGCTGATCTCTCACTGAGATATTCTTAAGGGGCTCAAAGGTGAAGATAATAAGAATGTGTATCCTTCCCTACCCTTGGACTAGGAGGCCCAGGTTCAAGTCTCACCTGCTTCAGAGGTATGTAATAACATCTCTGAACAGGTTGATTAGAACAATAGGCTAATATAAAAAAGAACACTTTCCCTTCAATGCAGAGGCTAGAAAAGAGATAACAGTCTCAGAATAAGATGTTGACTATTTAGGACTGGGATGAGGGGAAATATCTTCACTTAAATTATTGCAAATGTTTGGCTTTCTCTACCACAGAGAGTTTAGGCTTTTTCAAACAATGAATCTTATTCAAGAAAGAAATCAACAGAGTTTTGGATCTAAAATCATTGGATATTGAGGTAAAAGGACAACCAAGCTGTTGTTGAATGGCTTACTCCAGCTCCTGTTTGTTCTGCTCTCACAAAATGAACACGTTTCTGGTGCATTTATTTGGATTCAGTATTTATAAATGTAAATACTAAAGGCAGAAGTCAATCCTTGTCTTCACACTTTCGAAAATCACACGTACAAAATTGTCCGTTAACCGTAGTAAGCGACATGAAATGTACATACCTGTGTGCGTTATGACACTAGCAGTAATATAGATTGAGCATCCCACAAGTTCATAAATGTTGGGAAAGCTGGCTTTGAACATTGCACTCGTCATGGTAGCATCTCCTTGCCCATCTGTAATCTGAAATTAAATACTTCAGATCAGCAAAGAGTCCTACAATAAGTGCAGAACCCTAGAGAATAAATTATTTAATAATTTTCCAGTGTTCTGCTGTGTGCCCTTTGTGTTTGTAAAGAAGTCTAGTCGACACTGGGCACTGTATGTTCAGAGCCTAAAAACATTGCACAGTGTGATTGACTTTCTAGCCCTGATTTTAAATCCTACTTCAGGGCTAAGAACATTTAATAACTCTGTCATACAAAACTGAAAGCTATCAACAAAACAATGTAAGTATCCTTCACCATTGAAATGTTTCTTCATGAAGAGAACAGTTACTTTCCTACTTAGTTAATTCTTCAAACCCTTGAGGTTTTCCACTTGTCAATGTGATGCCGATCCAGATGAACAAGATGCTGATCCAGATGAACATGCCACTAGTTGGGTAAATCCCAAATTTGCAATATTCAGGAATCTTTTGCCTTTTACTTACCTCTATTGATTGAAGTGATGATGGAATTCCTATCCTTTCGCCATCCTTCATTATTCCATACATAACAAATGCACGACCCTCAACAGGCTTTCCATAAGTGAATCTAAAAATGAGAAAATAGAACCATTAAATTGTCATTGAAATAAGCTCTCTGGAAAGCTCTGAAAAAAAAAATTACACCAACCTTGCAGTGACTGAAACATCCAAATTATTATCATCAACGTAGAAAAAATGCTTTTCCGTTTCGAGGGTAACTTCAAAACTCGGTAACACTATCAAAACAAGCCAAGTTAAAACAGCATTTAAAAACACTACAGTTACTGACTGATTCTCACGCTGTTACATTTTCAAACATAGACACATACCAAGGTATCACAGTCCAATGAATCATAAGACAATGATTTTGATGGTGCTCATTGAGAAACAAATCCTAGAATGAAAAATAAAAATAGTTCCATGAACTTTTTCTACTAGTTCTAACGGGTGAAACTGCAGGTTGGCCGCGTGAAAGTGAATGATAGAATGGAATTGAGGAATCTGAATCCATCACCTCACACTGCAGTTCCTTTATACATATTGAATCAAAAGTCCTGTGAAGAGTTTAACCTCCGTTATCTACAGCAATGGAAGAGATGTGTTAATCAGTGGAAATCTTCAGGGATTAAAGAAATCCAAATTTGATGTTACATACCAAACGGGAGTAGAATAGGAACAAATTGTATCTTTCATTGCGTTTTTTTGAGAAGAACACTTTTTGTAAGATAACTGTGCCATCTTGAGCTGAGTAGGATATCTGTCAATTACCACAACCTTGCTATTGACCTGGCATGTTGGGCTGATGTTAAAGGAGGCAAGTGGGGGGGTTCTTTGAGGCCCCTGGTTGTGACCGTTGAGGAAGATTTGCAAAGTGGTATTCAGACATGAGTATTGTTGGATATTATAATAATAATTCACCCAGGGTTTAGGGTAATTGCTGGATTCTACATCACAGGCGAGTGACGAATAGGGGTTTGGAGCGGTGGGGCCAATGAATGGGACTGACAGTGGGGAAATGGGTGGTGTGTACTGTGCTGCTGTCCTCATTTTGCAGCTAGATGTTAAGATCACTGAAAGTTTCCGAAAATGCCAGTGGGGCTCTCCTTGTGAGGAGCAGCAAGGCATGGCTGTCAGCTGGCCCCACAGCCACCCTGCCCATTCCAGAGATAGGCTGACAGCCTATCAGATGGCCTTTGTACAAAAGATTCTAATGTTGCAGTGTCTCCCACAGGATTGTTCGTATGATTCCTGCATTCAAGCATCCTGCCTGCTGCAGAAGTGGTATTGATCAAGGGCCTCAATAAGCAATGTACCATCCGTAGACCTCCCTGCTGCAAACTTAATCAGGGCTATGTGGCAGGGATCCCATTCAACTGACCACTACCCAACTAAGTCATCATATTACGGAGGACCTTAGATTCCATCCCAGCTATGAGCATCATCAGTTAATATAGAATCCCTACAGTGCAGGTAAAGGCCATTCAAGTCTGCACTGACCTCCACTACCCCCCTCCGAAGAGCATTCAACCCCCCTACTCTATCCCTGTAACTCCGCGTTTACCATGGCTAGCCCACCTGGCCTGCATATCTCTGGATGCCACAGGGCAACACAGCACAGCCAATCCACCCGACCTGCACATCTTTGCACTGTGGGAGGAAATTGGAGAACCCAGAGGAAACCCATGGAGAACATGCAAACTCCACACAGGCAGTCACCTAAGGTGGGATCAAACTCAGGCCCCTGGTGTTGTAAGGCAGCAGTGCTAACTGCTGATCCACCATAACACCTAATCATGGGGAGGGAGGGACCTACCAGCAGCTTAAGAATAGATCCTAAAGCTCAACAGAGTGATCTTAACATCTGATTGCAAAATCAGTACAATATACAGAAATACTTTGTCGTAGGTTTTATACAATTTCTTTTTATTCGTTAATGGGATGTGAGTGTCACTGGCCAGGCAAACAATTATTGCCCATCTCTAGTTGCCCAGAGGGAAGTTGAGAGTCACCCACGTTGCTGTGGCTCTGGAGTCACATGTCAGCCAGACCAGGTAAGGATGGCAGATTTCCTTCCCTAAAGGACATCACGACAATTGACCGTGGTTGTGTGGTCATCATTAAACTGGCTTTGCATGCCAGAATTTTTTTGTTGACTTCAGATTTCCCCATCTGCCTCGGTGGGAGCCCATGTCCCTAAGGATAAAAGCCAGGTTTCCAAACTGTAACATTTATGCTGGTTTATTAAAACCTACGCTTTGAAATGTTTTCCTTTCAACATCTGTTTCAACGAAACCACCCAGGACAGAGAAAAATATAGACATTGGTTCAATTTACCCACCATATTCCTTAACTTCAAATTCAGTGGTGTAATTTACATGGCTGGCTTCTTTGTAGCTTGCAGCAATCTTCCACACTCCAATACTGGAAAATATACCAGTTAAGTAATTTCAGATGTTTGCTTTGTGCATTATATATAATAGCAAATCTACGAGTAATTACGGTTTTAAATCCATGTTTAATCAAAATATATTCCCCAAATACCAAAGCAAAATGAGCTGTTGTTTGGTTTTATTTAAAGAACACACTGAACAATAAAGTTTTGAATTAATTAAAGAAATAAGTCTGAGAAATGAAATTAAGGGAACATATTTTCTAGGAGGTTTCACACATCCCTTTTGGATCTTAATTTCTGTGAGCAGGTCCAAATGATTTTCAGCGATTGAATTGAGTCAGTAACACACCAGCAAACCAAGAGGTGGGGATAAATGGGCTGAGATTTCAACTCTGTGAACGCCCTCCTTGTGCTGCAGAAATACTGTAGAATTTGTTTTAAATCCTGGACCCAGTGAGCAGGCCAGTGGTCCTCCTTCCCATGGAAGGTGCCGGAAGGGGACACGAAGCATCTGGTAAGTGCAAAACTCCAAAGGGAATTGAGTTCAGTGTGAGTTTTGGGGAGATCTGATGTTCAGAAGCCAGAGGGCCAGGTGTGGAGTGAAACATGAGGTGATTTGAGCTCACCACGTAATGCAAGAATTGCAAGGAAAAGGCCTCAGATGCCACTGTGTCAAAAAGAAAACTGTGTTGCCAGGTAATGCTTGTTTAAGCTATTCATTTTAGTATATAACTCTCAACCTCTTAATTCACCTGCTGTTACACTAACCCCAATTGAAAATGTTTAATTTCCAAACTCCTAATGTCAAGCTGAGGCATAGAAAAGACTTAAGTATGTATCAATCAATTGACTTCTCCCTTATGAGATCACGCTGTTATTTACATTAGAATACAATTAGTAATACCACAAGGTGTGCAGCCTGAAACATTAACTCAGATTTCTCACAGATGTTGCCAGTAATTTCTGTTTTTGTTTCTGATTTGCAGCATACACAGTTCTGTCGGTTTTTAGTTTTTTCAGATATCCACTTGCACTTCTCACTGCTCCCTCTGAGACTGATATTTATACCTACTCACAGTGTGCTCACTGCTCCCTCGCAACTGGTATTTATATCTACATACAGGTACACAAAAAATAGAAATTTCTAACAGAAAATTTGCAGCATAATTGATATCTTACTAGGTTGTAAATGCTCCTAAGGCAAAAAAAAAAGTCCTAAAATGTTTTCAGAAACTGTTTTTAAAAAATTACCACGGTTACAGAAACACTTAAAGTTAATAACTAATTTCTTCAGACACATAGAAACCCATATGTCACTACTTCAAAATTCAAAACTCCAAACTTTACAAATGATACTAAATATGTATACAAATCACACAAACCACATCACACTTGATGTTGATGTGCAAATTGGAGATGCTGTTTGCACAATGTCAATGAAATTGTAGCCTGAAGTGAGGTTATCCAGAGTAAATCAAATTTTCTTCTGCAAATCAAATTGTGTTGTATTGTTGTCCATTCCACACAAAATGAAGGTTACCCCATTTTAACACTTCAAGAGAAATAATCTTTCACCGTGTCAATCTCCAGGAGAACTTACCTCAAGTATCTAAAGTTCAGATCCAATGACTGTAACATTCCTACCGTGACTAGCCTTTGCAAGGAACTAGGCATGAGTGTAGCATGATGATCAATTAATATTTATTCATGCATATAGTCTTATTAAAATTAGCTAAGAGATTAGTTAATTTACTAATGTCAGAACCTATGGCATCATCTAATAGCTTCTACATTAGTTATTATTGTGAAAAGGCTCTGCCAAGTCAATGAACAATTAAAAAATGTTTATTCACTATGCCTTGGCACCAAGCTGTGATTGTACTTCACACATTTTGCACTTACTTCACAATCTCGGGTATTTTAAAGGTGCTTCCAGTAATGCCAGTAGCATCTTTGGCAAATACCTCTTCCCTCTTGACAATAACATTTTGTGGATTCTGAAAGAAAGATATGCAGTAAGAATATGTTCTGTCCTGACTAAAATGAAATAATTGATAGCTGTAGCAGCCAACTGAGTTCCAAAAGGTTTAACACAATTGATTTAGCAAAACCAAAGTTTGGGAATCACCGATAATTTTGTTTCTTTAAGACAGAGAAATTATTAAAATAGGATGAAGTAAAACTGATGCTCAAGAGTATCAGCTGATCACAATCTCCAAGTTTTTGGTGCTTAAGAAAAATAGGGATTTGTGAAAGAGAAAGTATGTTTGAATTAATTATTAGAATTTCACTGAGGAACATAGACAAAGGGGAACCTGTAGATGTGGTGGTACTGAGATTTCCAAAAGGCATTTGATAAAGTGCTACATCACACATTATTGTGCAAAATAAGAGCTTGTGTTGTTTGGAGAAACTGAATAGTATGAGCAAAGGATTTGATGGCTAACAAGAAGCTACAAGAATGGGGGTAAATTTGTCATTTTTAGGTCGGCCAGCTGTAATTAATGAAGTGCCACAGAAATCAATGATCAGATTTTAAGTACTTAGAGCTAATATCAGTGACTTGGATGAAGGGACTGAAATGCATGGTTGCTAAATTTGCTGAAAACGCAAATATAGGTTGGAGAGAAGGTTATGAAGAGGATGTAAGGAGCCTGCATAGAGGAGGTTAGTTGAGGCAGGAAACCTCATAACCTTTAAAAAGAACTTGGATATGCACTTGAAATGTCATAACATTCAAGGCTTATGGGTCTAGTGAGGGAAAGTGAGGCTAGTATCAGTAGCAGTGCATTTTTGGTGTTGAGACTTGATTGTCCAAAGGGCCTCCTTCTGTACTGATTGATTTATTTTTTAAATTTTTTTTTTCCCTTTATACATTCAGGGGATGAGGGTGTCGCTGGCTGGGCAAGCATTTATTGCCCCATCCCTAATTGCCCAGAGGGCAGTTACCAGTCAACCACATTGCTGTGTGGGTCTGGAGTCACATGTAGGCCAGACCAGGTAAGGATGGCAGTTTCCTTCCCTAAAGGACATTAGCGAACCAGATGAATTTTTCCTCAACAATTGACAACAGATTAATGGTCATCATTAGACTCTTAATTCCAGATATTTATTGAATTCAAATTCCACTATCTGCCATGGTGGGCTTTGAACCCAGATCCCCAGAACATTACCTAGGTCTCTGGATTAACAGTCCAGTGATAATACCACTAGGCTATCGCCTCCCCATGATTCTATAGAGTCAGGTTAAATAAGCGGGCAAAACATTGGCAACTGGCTCATTATGTGGGAAAATGTGAACTTAAACATCTAGGCAACATGGATAGAGAAGCAAGGTAGTATTTTAGGATTGTATCCTTAGGGAGAAGAAGGCTGAGCTGAGATCTGATTGAGGTTTTCAAAATTGCGAGCTGGTTGGACAGAGTAGATAGGGAGAAGCTGTTCCCACTTATGAAGGAAGAAAGAACAAGAGGCAATAGATTTAAAGTCACGTGCAAACAAAGCAAGGGTGACACATGAAAAAATATTTCCACACAGGGAGTAGTTAGGGTCTGGAATGCACTGCCTGGAAATGTGGTGGAGGCAGATTCAATGGAGGCCTTCAGGAGGAGCACTGGATGATTCTTTTGGAAAAATTAAACGGTGTGCAGGGATTTGGAGAAAAGGCAGGAGATTGGCACTAGGGAACATAGCCAGCTCAGGCAAGATGGGCCAAATGGCCTCCTGCTACACCTTAATAACGCTGTGATTTAAAGAGATAGAGGAACTCTAGTACAGAGGGATTTGAAAGACTTAGTGGATCAATAGTGTAACGATCATATCATTATCTTCTGTATTTCTGATTGTGGACAAAAACGAAAGAAAGTCAGTTTTTCTATTGAATTCAAGTATCGCTATCTACCCTGGTGGGATTTGAGCACGCATGCCCAAAACATTAGCCTGTGGCTCTGGATGGCTCACCCAGTGACATTATTGTTGTACCACTGCTTATTGCTTCTCTCCCACTTTGGCTGCTGATGGGTTCCTACCATCGCAAGCCTATCTGCAGAAGCATTGGGACAGAACTGGCCTCTGATTGAAGGAGCAGCTCTTTGCTAATTCCTTCCAATCTATTTTCAGGGTCGGCTTTTAGCTCAGTGGTTGTCACCCTGGGTGGTTTTGTTTGGGCAATTTGGGGTCTTCAAATGCATGTGATCCTGGTCGAGATCAGGTAGGCCAGCTCTGTGCAGTGATTGAACCAGACACCCATCTGGGTCCTGCTCCATCCTGGACGGTATCTTTAGAAACTGAGATATCAAGGAACTCCCAGTTTCACTGTCCTGTGAGTGAGACAAACAGCTCTTGCACAGTTGTATGATATATAAAAATATACATTACCACAAAATCAACAAGAGTAGTTTTTTTGGCGGGCTTCATTTCATTGTTCACAGTAAGCAAACGGTAAAGAACTAGAGAAAAACAAAGCAAACAACAATTAATTCACGTCCTATGTTTTCACAGTGAACTATAAATAAAGCTTTGTGTGTTATAAAAGACGTAATATTAAAAAGCAGATAAAAACCGCACAACAAATTATAATACTGTATATATAAAAATAGCAAAGCATGAAAGTTGCCATTGACAATACTAGATAGGTAAAGGAAAACAAGTTATTAAAAATATGTAAGATGGACACTAGATGTTGTTTTGAGTTAAACATTGAGATCTGGGTACAAATTCCAAATTCAGAAATAAATATATCAGAGTGGTTTTCCCAAAAGTTGACCTTGGATGCAAGGAACTAATAATGTTGTATTTCTATATGCATGACCACAGGAGTCCAAAACATTTTACACTCAATTAAGAGTTTCCTAAATGTAGCCACCATTGTAATTTAGGAAACCTGACAGTCAATTTGCACAAAACAAAATTCAATATGGTTAACGACCAGAATATCTGTCTTTTTTTTAGCAATGTTGATTCAGGGATAAATATTAGAGCAACACCAGTTCTGTGCTCAAGTCCTGGAGTGGAATTTGAAATCACAAGCTTCTAACTTAGAGATAAGAGTGCTAACAACTGACCCATGACCAATGCCACATCAATTGAAAGACCTATCTATCCAAGTTGGACAGCTATTACCGAGTGCATTAGGAAACAATGATTTCTTTTTTAAATAAAAATTCCATCATCATTTTGTTAATGGTCATCGGGCTGAATTTTAAGATGTTTGTTCTGAAGCTCCACTTAAGTGATTGAAACAAAGAATTTTTCACATCCTACAAAACTCAGCAACATTGGGAAATCTTATCTTACATCTCCATCTGACTTAATATCAAAAATATTATCCTCACCCATAAGGAATGTGTTCCATTAAGTACAAACGCACATGCACACACACACCCACACCCACACACACACATGATTATCAAAGGTTTCTAATTTAATTCAATTTTATAATCTGACTCAGAAAACCCAATGGATTTAAACATGACCTTGCTGTAATAGAGATCACTGTTCTAAGGTTAGGCTGCCTTATGCTGATGGGGTAGTGGAGAGGATATAGCTGTAGCATCAGAACAGGAGGAAGTCATTTAGGTCCTTGAGCCTGTTTCAACTTTGAAGAGGATCACGGCTGACCTGTGACCTAACTCTTTATACCTGCCTTGAACCCACGGTGCAGAAGATTGCTGATGCTCCATCACTGAGTATGTTAAGGTAGATTTGTTTGGTCTGCCGGTGAATCAATGGATATGAGGGCAGGGTGGAAATTTGGAGGTGAGGCACAATATGATTTGTTTGAACGATGGAGCAGATTCGAGAAGCAATGTTAAAGGCAAAAAAACTGCAGATGCTGGAATCCAAGCTCGACAAAGAGGAGGCTGGAAGAACACAGCAGGCCAGGCAGCATCTGGAGGAAAGGAGCAGTCAATGTTTCGGGTATTACCCTTCTTCAGGACTGGATATGGAGGCAGGGGGAGCTGCAGATAAAGAGAGGGGCGAGGGATGGTAATAGGTGTATCAATGTGAGCTACTCCTGCCCTTATCACTTATATTGTTGTGTTGAAAAACTCGGTTAACAAAACTCTGAAAATCTCAATGTCAATAGATGTGGAGCTGGAAAAGCACAGCAGATCAGACAGCACCCGAGGAACAGGAAAGTCAATGATTTGGCCTAAAACGTCGCCTTTCCTGCTCCTCAGATGCTGTCTGACCTGCTGTGCTTTTCCAGCTTCACATCTGTTGACTCTGGCTTCCAGCATCTGCAGTCCCCTTACTGTCTCCTCTACCAATCTCAGTATTAAATTTAATAATTGATCCAACATCTATTGATTTAAGGAAAAGAACAGCAAACATCTACCACCCTTCGTGGGAATAAATGCTTCAGTACGTGGCTTCAACGTAGACACCTTTAATACTGAAATGAGGAGAGCTCAATTCTCCATTCCCAACATCACTCAACTTGACATGTCACTCCATTTTTTTGAACATCATCCCATTCAGCCCAGTTCTTTACTTCTGCATTAAAGAGATATCAGGAATAATGCAGCTGTAATTACCAGTCTGAGTTGGTGTATAGATTGGTTTGTCAGTCTGTATGAATATGTGTCCTATTTGGTATGAAATAAGGATGTTTCGCTCCAAGTGAAATGTTTTTGATACTGCTTCCACCACTACATATTCAGGTAACATTGTATCTTTGGGAATTCTATTGCTGGGTATCTACAAAAGAAACATATAGAGAAATATTAAACAAAATAAATGCAGTTGTTTTACAACCATTGCCCCCAGCATTTCCTTTAGTATCACCTATTGGCTTAGAAATTCCCTAGGTTTTCATCTTCACTGAGCTGATAGTTTTGATTATAGTAAGGCCTGATTGCAGAGTTATGCCTCTGGTCTTGCACTCCAGTATAGGGGTCACTCCCTACGCAATATTTCTAGATTGTGGTCCTCTGACATGTGGCAACTTTTGTCCTTTTTATCAAATGGGATGGTGGGATTCAATGCTTTAGTGAGATTTGTGAGGCAGGGAGGCAATGTCAGAATCACTGGAATGCAAACACAGGGTGCGCTGCAGTGACTGAAGTAAACACAAAGGACTGTGCAGATGTTGGACATCTGGAATCGGACACTCTGACAAAGGTTCACTGGACTTAAACTCTGCTTCTCCTCTCTACAGATGCTGTCAAACCTGTTAAGTTTCTCCAGCGCACACTATTTTTGTATACAGCAGTCACATTGCATGATGTTTGGGGCATGAATCAATCGATGTACCCAGATATGGATAGTGAGAACAGCCGCAGCTTCAAATAATGAGGTCAGCAATGCACATACCATTACAGCTCTGACATGAAACTTTAAGTACCTGCTGCACTCAGTCATTCCTCACACAATCAGCCTGCAGAGACAGGCAGGGGAATGACAGGCTGCTGTACCCAAGGCTCTCAGTGGCCCACAGCAAAAAGGGAGAGAGTCTTTCCAAGGTCTCACTACAGTGGTGGCTTCAGTACATCAGCACTCAGTGCCTCCATGGAATGGGGTGCCGGTGGTGGGGCGGAGACACCATGTTCTTTCTTATTACTGTGGTACCTGTGCAGACTTCTGAGTGGTCTGAGCAGAATATTTAAATCAGGGCATCCATGTAGCAGAAGTCACACTGTAATTTCTTTTCTCAGTGTGTTCATCAACCATTGAAAGTGGGAAAACGAGTAAGTCAAATAGTCAGGGCGGGCAGGAATACAGCAGAGAATGCGTTAGGACTGATAAATTAAACTGCATTTATTTCAATGCAAGAGGCCTAACAGGTAAGGCAGATGAACTCAGGGCATGGTTGGGCACATGGGACTGGGATACCATAGCAGTTATAGAGATGTAGCTCAGGGCTGGACGGGACTGACCATGTAATATTCCAGGGTACAGATGCTATAGAAAGGATCGAAAGGGGGCCAGGAGAAGAGGGGAGTGGCCTTTTTGATTAGGGATAACATTAGGGATTAGGGAGGATATTCCTGGGAATGTGGTCAGGGAAGTTATTTGGGTGGAACTGAGAAATGGATGATCACCTTATTGGGATTTTACTATAGATGCCCCAAAAGTCATCAGGAAGCTGAGAAACAAATTTGTAAGGCGATCTGAGTTATCTGTAAGAATAATAGGGTGCTAATGGTAGGGGGATTTGACATTTTCAGACATAGACTGAGACAGCCATAATGTTAAGGCCTTGGACAGAGTGGAATTTGTTAAGTGTGTAGGAGAAGATTTTGTGATTCAGTATGTGGATGTACCAACGAGAGAAGGTGCAAAACTTGACCTACTCTTGGGAAATAAGGCAGGGCAGGTGACTGAGGTGTCAGTGGGGGAGCACCTTGGGGCCAGTGAGCATAATTCTACTAGTTTCACAGTAGTGATGGAAAAGGATAGACCAGATCAAAAATTTAAAGTTCTAAATAGGAGGGAAGCCAATTTTGCAGGTATTAGGCAAGAACTTTAAAAAGTTGATTGGGGGCAGATGTTTGCAGGTAAAGGGATGGCTGGAAAATAGGAAGTGTTCAGGAATGAGATAAAGAGAGACCAGAGACAGTATGCTCCTACTAGGGTGAAGGGCAGGGCTGGTAGGTGCAGGGAATGCTGGATGACTAGAGAAATTGAGGTTTTGGTCAAGAAAAAGAAGAAAGTAGCAGGGATTGGGAATCCCTAGAAGAGTATAAAGGCAGTAGAGTGAACTTAAGAGGTAAATCAGGGAATCCAAAGGGATTCTACAAATACACTAAGAACAAAAGGGTAACTAGGGAGAGAATAGGGCCCCTTAAAGATCAGCAACACCATCTACATGTGGAACTGCAGTATATGGGGGAGATACTAAATGAGTATTTTCCATCAGTGTTTACTGAGAAGGAAATGGAAGATATAGAACTTGGGGAAAGAAATAGTGACATCTTGAAAAATTTCCCTATTACAGAGGAGGAGGTGCTGGAGTCTTAAAACGCATAAAGGTGGATAAATCCCCTGGACCTGATCAGCTGTACTCTAGAACTCTGTTGGAAGCTAGGGAAGTAATTGCTGGGCCCCTTGCTGAGATATTTGTATCATCGATAACCACAGGAGAGGTGGTGGCAGACTGGACATTGGCTAACGTGGCGCCACTATTTAAGAAAGGTGGAAAGGAAAAGCCAGGGAACTATAGACCAGTGAGCCTGACATCGGCAAGGTTGTTGGAGGGAATCCTGAGGAACAGAATTTACATGTATTTGGAAAAGCAAGGACTGATTAGGAATAGTCAACATGGCTTTGTGCAGGGAAAATCGTGTCTCACTAAAATGATTGAAATTTTTGAAGAAGTAACGAAGAAGATTGATGAAGGCAGAATGATTGACATGATCTACACGGACTCCAGTAAGATACTTGACAAGGTCCCGCATGGTAGACTGATCAGCAAGGTTAAATTACATGGAATACAAGGAGAACCAGCCATTTGAATGGCTCGAAGATAGGAGACAGAGGGTGGTGGCGAAGGGTTGCTTTTCAGATTGGACACCTGTAACCAGCGGTGTGTCACAAGGAGCGGGTCCACTGCTTTTCATCATTTATGTAAACTATTTGGATGTGAACATAGTGATATGGTTAGTAAGTTTGCAGATGACACCAAAATTGGAGGTGTAATGGACAGTGAAGAAGGATACCTCAGAGTTCAATGGGATCTTGACCAAATGCACCAATGTGCTGAGGAGTGGCAGATGGAGTTGAATTTAGATAAATGTGAGGTGCTGCATTTTGGAAAGGGAAATCAGGGCAGGACATATACACTTAATGGTAAGGTCCTGAGGAGTGTTGCTGAACAAAGAGACTTTGGAGTGCAGGTTCATAGTTCCTTGAAAGTAGAGTCACAGGTAGACAGGATAATGAAGGTGGTGTTTGGTACGCTTGCCTTTATTGGTCAGTGCATTAAGTATAGGAGTTGGGAGGTAATATTGTGGCTGTACAGGACATTGGTTAGGCCACTTTTGGAATACTGCATTCAGTTCTTGTCTCCCTGCTATAACAAGGATGTGAAACTTGAAAGGGTTCAGAAAAGATTTACAAGGATGTTGCCAGGGTTGGAGGGTTTGAGCTTGAGGAAGAGAATGAATAGGCTGGGGCTATTTCCCTGGAGCGTCAGAGGCTGAGGGGTGATCCTATAGAGGTTGAGAAAATCATGAGGAGCATGGATAGGGTAAATAGCCAAGGTCTATTCCCTGGTGTGGGGGAGTCCAGGATTAGAAGGAATAGGTTTAAGGCGAGAGGGGAAGATTTAAAAGGGACCTAAGGGACAACTTTTTCACACAAAGGGTGGTGCAGGAAGTGGTGGAGGTTGGTACAATTACAACATTTAAAAGGCATCTGGATGGGTACATGAATAAGAAGGGGTTAGAGGGATATGCTGGCAAATGGGACTAGATTAATTTTGGACGTTAGACCAAAGAATCTGTTTCCAATATATACAGTTCTGAAACTCTATAACTCTATGATTATCTTATTTTACAGAGACAAGTATTCTACCTACTAAAATAAACAAAAATGTTTGCTTGGGTCAGAAGTCTTTGGACTAGTTCAGTGGTGTCTTTATGCATAATGTGTTTAACAAGATAACACTAGCAATTTCTTCACTCATTTATCGGCAGCGATTTGCACTGAACCTTACTTTCTGCCCAATCATTGTGTACTGCATCAAGATTGATATTTTGGCCTGATGAAATGTCGAACTCAAGCCGTATCAAATTGTTCAAGTGATCTATTTCAAATCTTTTCATAGAATCCCTACACAGTGTGGAAACAGGCCCTTCAGCCCAACAAGTCCACACCAACCCTCAGGGCATCCCACCCAGACCCATCCCCCTATAACCCACCTAATCTACACCTCCCTGAACACTATGGGCAGTTTAGCACGGCCAATCCACCCTAACCTGCACATCTTCAGACTGAGGGAGGAAACCGGAGCACCCGGAGGAAACCCCACGCAGACACATGGAGAATGTGCAAACTCCGCACAGACAGTCGCCTGAGAGTGGAATCGAACCCGGGTCCCGAGTGCTGTGAGGCAGCAGTACTAACCACTGAGCAAACGTGTCACCTCAAATTCTGGAATTACACTTAATCAAGTGATTCAGGCTAAATTTGTGCTCACAGTCAACAGCTGATGCTCAAAAAGGTTTGCACTAATGTCCAGAAGAACGGATATTTCTTGAAACTGGTCATCCTTTAGGGCACAGTTGAGCAAATCACAGAATGCTTGAATTGAACCCATCCACAAAAACAGATGTGAAATCGCGATACATTCACATATCTTTGTGGCCATACTTTCTTCGTAGTTTTTGCTTTAGGTATGAAATATTTTGCTATCAAAAGCACCACATTTTCTATTCCAAGTTCATAACCAATGGTTTTGGAGATTACAGCTTTATCAAATGCAGGTCATTCCATTTATTGCCAGTTTGGAAATCTGCTATTCAGGTGGTCACATCAAAGTTGAATAAATTAAAGGTAAACAGCAGTGTCCACATTACTGTTTAGAGCAGCCAGAACCTTCTTAACTTCATCATTCATTCACCTCGAGACTGACTCATCTATTTGGGGTCTCTGCAAACTGCATCACTTCAATCGCTATCAAACAGCTTCGCTATCACAGGTTACACAGTGATGCCAGTTCCCCTACAGTATCAATCAGAGCTGTCAATACAACATGATAGTGTGGCTTTGTGAGCACTTTCAGCCAATATTTGTTTATTGGATCATTGCACTTATTCACTTGCTCTGCGCTGTACTTGGTCAGGACATTATAGCTTTCCATGAGTGCACTCATTGCAAAGAACCTTGACAGTCACCTCACTTTATTCAGAGATCTAAATGCCACATCATCACCCTCTGTTATTTTGGCAGATTCCTCAAACAGTCCTTTCCACACAGTTGACCCACTGAACATTGTATGTGCTGATCTTAGAAGTGTTTCAATGTCTTGCATAGTTAGCAGCTGTATCCATCTATTCCCAGATCTTCTCTATAAACAACGCAGTGTTATTCTGACATGTTTGATTTCACATTAAAATACTAATGCGACTCAATTTTCCTTTCCCAGCATAACAGAAGCTCTGTCTGAAGGACACATCATCTTCTGTGAATCAAGGTCACCATTAGTATAAAATTGTTTGATTGCTATCAGAGGGAGATGTTGCCGGTTTCAAAATTCCTGCGAAGGCAGTCTTGTGAGGAACTTCAGATCCTGGCTGAAGCTTGATGTATAAAATCAACATTCTTATTGCACCGAAATGCCCATACTTCCATCTACGATCAATGCATGAAAAGGTGATTGGTCCAGGAGCTCTGCTTGACAAAGCTGATGCACTGCACAATTTCGGAGGTATAATTCCTGCTATGTCAGCTCTCAGTGATCATTACTGTGTGTACCACCAGATGGTCATGAATGTTGCACAGAAAGCAAGTGGGACTTTCTCCCTGAAAGATGTAACCACATGCCCAGCAGTTGGGGATTGCAGTCAGGCACTGCAGATTATACTGGGGGACATGGCGGGGTGAATGGTAAAGCTTATGGGAGGAATCAGGGTCCGCGATATGTGCCTTGGAGGAATGTATCGTGTTCCTAAAGACTCCCGATTCCTAAAGAATCACAGAATCATTACATCGTGGAAGCAGACTATTTAGTCCATCATACCGATACTAGATCTACTACCTAGTGCCAACCTCCTGTTTTTTCCCCATATCCCTGCACATCATAACTTGCTAAATAATCATCCACTGTCTTCTAGAATGCCTCATGTGAATCTGCCTCCACCACAGTTCCAGGTAGTACATTCCAGACATAGAACATAGAACATAGAACAGTACAGCACAGTACAATACAGGCCCTTCGGCCCACAATATTGTGCCAACCTATTAACCTACGAAGACCCTGCATACCCTACATTTTACAATCCTCCACGTGCCTATCCAAGAGTCGCTTAAAAGTTTCTAAAGCATCCGACTCCACTACCACTGCCGCCAGCGCATTCCACATGCCCACCACTGTAGACCTCAACTCTTGCTGCGTGAAAAAGTGTTTTCTCACATCACGCCTGCTTCGTTTGCACATCATTTTTAAATCTATGACATCTCGCTCCTTTTCTCTTTTGCAAGCAGGAACAACTTCTCCCTGTTGACCCTGTCCAGCCAGCTCATGAAAACTTCAGTCAGATCTTGGCTCAGCCTTCTTCTCCCTCAGGATACTATCCTAAAATGCTGTCCTGCTTTTCTATCCTTCCTGCCTAGGTGCACAAGTTCACATTTTCCCACATTATGCTCCAGTTGCCAATGTTTTGTCTGCTTACTTAACCTAACTGTAAAGAATCATAGAATCATACAGTATAGAAGAGGCCCTTCAGCCCATCGATCTGTACCCCCAAAAATACACTGCTACTGACACCATTCTTACTTCCCTGAACTAGACCCTTAGCCTTGAACGTTATGACATTTCAAATGCTCATCAAGTATTTTTTTAAAGGTTGTGAGATTTCCCACCTCAATTATCCTCCTCTGTGCAGGCTCCCACCTCCTCTCCATTATCTAGTCTCCTACTTAAATTTGCGTTTTCCATATCACTCTTGCTTCTTTTGCACATGACTTTAAATCTGTGCCCTCTCATTCTTTTTCCTTTTATGAGCAGGAGCAGCTTCTTCCCATCTACTGTCTTCATCACATCTCTAATGTGCCCCCCCGCCCCCCATATAGGTACGGCTGAGTCTAATTAGTGTTTTGTACATGTTCAGTCTCCCCTCCTTGCTCGTGTACTCTATGCCCCAATTAATGAAGTTGAGGAGTCAAACGTTAGTTGTATGTGTGGGATTTTCAGGCTCATGCTGGAAAACTGAGGCAATAAGATTGAAAATGGTTACCTCAGATATGTCTGTATATTGTGCAATTGAATGGAGAGAACCACTGAAGCCTTCATATCCTACACTAGTGGACACATCATTAAGTAAAGTCAGTCAGTGCGAGGGTACAGTGAAGACTCAGTGCATTCTGCAGCACTTCAGAGATAGTGATGGACTAAGTCACACGAAGGGCAGCCTCAGCATGTCAAAGAGCTCAGAACATATGTCCAGGCAGGCTTTCCGATTTGGATAGCACTTTAATACAAGTAATGCTAAACTCCAAGAGCATGTGACCATAGAAGGGCTCACTCTCTTGCAGCTGCTGTAACCTTAACGTTGGCCGGGGACAAGGTTTGTGCCCATATCAGGCTTTTACAAAGATGATGAGATCAGCAGGAGAGTGAAGATGAGAAGTCAACATTTTATTTGCATAACAAAAGCAAAGTGACATCCATTCCAAGCAATGAGGAAAGCTGCGCAAAGGCCTTACAGCCAACTATGTAAATTAAAGCATAACATTTGCAGAAGATGTCTCTGGGCAGAACATTTGACTGTATGGTTGTTTATGTTTTCTCTACTTAACCAAACAGTGCCCTGTCTTGTTCATCTGGTTGATAATTATCCTGTGCCACCTCATGATTTTCACCCTCATCTTTCTCCTCGGAGGTTCCTATTTGCCTCTGCAACTCCTCCTCCTCTTTGGCAATGGAGGAGATGCAGGGTGCAGCAAACCACTCTGAGGCAAGACTCTCAGACATATACTGCATTACTCACTAAGGGAATCAAGGATAATGGGGGAAAGGGATTGAGGGACTATGAGTTTCAAGGCTGGAGGGAAGATCTCCAGAGGAAATCATTAGGTTGATAACAAGACCCGACCAGTGTGTGCTAAGTTATTCTAAATTAAGACTGCCGCTTTGTAAAGCCACAAAATAATTGAGCAAACTGCTTTAAACATTTAATTTTTCAATTCACTTACCTTAATAGGCACTGAAACTTGGTAATTATTATTATTTTCTAAAATGCCATTAGCTCTAAATATTACTATACTATTTTTCGGGAAAAATTGTAAACGAATTTCAACAGCTAAGCGTTCGTTGCTTCCGTGAACTTCCACAACCACATTTTCCTCGCTTTCAATTCGCAGAACGCTTGGGGCAGTCAATACATATCTGTCGGGATAAATAAAGAAATTACCATTTCCTCAGCAGCAATGATTAAGATGCTCTAGTAACAATGCACCATGTTGATTTCAGAAATAGCTTTAATGGAACAATGTAGCTATAGTTAAATTTTGCAAACCGAAATCTAATTGGTCTTCTAGTCATTACTGATCAGAAGGAACCATTTACCTCAACTGATTAATATAAAGAAATTTGCAAGAAAGAACATTCTTATAAATTGTAACAGCAATCGATGTAGAATATAAAAGCATAACTGGAGTAAATACTATAGATCCATTTCGGGAGAAGTTGGACAAGCATATAAAGAAGAAGGGGATGGAGGATTACAATGATAAACTAAGAGAAAACTTATTAGGATGACATGGAGCAGAAAGATTATACTTACAAAGGGGAACACTGGGACAGTGCAGGAATGAAGACTAACACAACAAGTAACACTGAGGTCCTCATGATGACCAACTGCTCCGCCAGGACAAACTTTCGCAAGTAATTTTACTGACTTATATAAAATCCTAGCACAGGTCTATTAATTTTTAACAATTGGGAAATTTGTACCACTGTTTGCTCTTAAGAAGTCCAGACATTCACTGGCCAGGCTGTTTATTTAAAGGTTAATTTAAACCCAATAGCCTGATGAAAATCCTGGAATAACAAACATTTCCTGACATTTGATGGCTTTTTGCCTAGGATTTAGAGTTTGACCAAGATAAGAAGTACAAGCACACCTTACGAAATACTGTTCTCAAATCTTCAGAATGTGTACTCAATAAATGGCCATAGCTCCAGGTATTTTGTGTCAATGCAATGTGGAGATTTCAATGTGTCTGTCATGCATTGATCACATGATTAACTGCAGAGAAACCAGGCCAATTTCATATTTCGTATCAGTATGAGGCACTTCCGTGAAGGAAGGTGTTTTCTTCAAACTGATATGCAACACAAACATTTCAAACTCGAGCGCATAAAAAGTATAAGCAAGCCACTGGATTGTCCTTACTGTGTCACAGTAAGACCAGCTGAACTGAGCCATCCCTGCTCCACTGCCACCTGCACTGATGTTGGGAGAGAGGTTAACTGGACACAATCTTCTCTAATGGGTGAAGGGAAAATATGTGAAAAAAAAAATCACACAAAATTCGCATTTTCGATAGCTAAGAGGCCCACAAACCCAGCCGTGGTTTTAATGTGCCTCAATTCCCATGTTGGTGCAAACGTAGCTCCTGACATTATCAGAAATGACAGCCGCTCCTACATGGTTCATCGCAGACCTTGCCATGGGTGAAGTTTGGATTTGGCACTGTGGCTGTGTGAGCTATATCCAGCTCAAGTTTCAAGCCCAATGTTCCTGTTGGCAGGCTTTGTCTGCACAGAAGGGTCATTCAAAAATTGAGGTATAGAAACCCTGCTGCAGATGGGGATGGAAGATTTGTTCTCTGTATATTGTGCAGTTCAAAGATACGACAATCATTAGTGAAGGGATCAAGTGAATCCCCAGTCGATAGTTAACACCTACACAAAATTATATGTAAATACAACTGGCAAATGGACTTAAATTTTCAAAGGTGTTCTCCCAACCTACCAGCATTGCGTTGGGAAGTCCACCAAACACCAACTAATGATGCAGAAGAATGCATGAAGAATTAGAATTTGATGCCGACAGTGACAAAGATGGTGCTGAGGATCCAAAGAAAGACAAGATCCAGCTGATTAGTTCAAAATGACAGGATGAAAATTGAATCAAAAATTTACCGTGGCAAATTCTTAAAAGTGCAGCCTTAGATTTTCTGTTTTACTCTTGTGAAAGGTAGGCAGAACAACATCACAAGATTTTGCTCGTAACCTTCATTTCTTTGAAGATCAGATCTCTTTGGTTAAGAGATTGTACCTATTTTACATCTCAGTTTCTCCTACACCACCATTAACACTCACTTTGCCTTTATCTTTGGATAAAGGCTTGCTCCTCCTCTCCCTCTGTCACCAATGTAAAAATCCACCATTTTCCAGCCTCTTTCAGATCTGAAGAAGTATATCAGATTCAAAACATTTTCATCTCTCAACAGATTCTGCCAGCCTGTTGAGTTTCACCAGCATTTTTGGTGTTTGTTTCAGGTTTCCAGCTTCTGCAATATTTTGATTTTATAAATGTTAACCATTTTGACCCTTAGTTGTGCAAGACACAAAAAACACAAACTGAGGCTAAGGCCTAATATCCAACAGACCGCAAAGCACAAACACAACAGAATGAAGGAAATTAAAATACAATGTAAAATTAATTTTGAAATCAAAGGAGTAGAATGATGTGTAATTTACTGACAGTAATCCATTAACTTAGGTAGGTGTGGGGAGAGGAGTGGTATTGGCAAGTTAGGCGTTAGCTGCTCCTAAAGCCAGATCTGCTGTTACCAGTAAAATAAAGATTTATTATAAAAGGACATTTATCAAGAAGCATAATGACAAAAAACAATAAACTTTCAAATTAAATGCAACTTATAAAATGTTCCCAGTCCTGTGAACAGTAAGTCATTACTACAACATATGCAAACAGTGAAGGAAATCATAAACTTTATCCTGTCTGATAAAACAAACTACATCAAAAATACCCAACAAAACATGTTTACCTTGTAAAGAACAAGATAAGATGACCCTGCAATTCACCATCACAGCTTTCAACATAAATATTGTGGGAATATACCTGCTTAAATAATAAAAGGTCACTGGTTTCAGGCACAATAATGAAGAATATTTGCATAACAGATAGGGCAATGGGATTCAGCTCAAATGCTAGATTTATCATTTGACTAACTGGAGTAGATCTAAAATACAGCCTACAGCAACTCTTGTTATTGCGATAATTCTCCTCCTTCTGGGAAACCATCCATCCAATAGGAGATAGTAGGAACTGCAGATGCTGGAGAATCCGAGACAACAAGGTGCAGGGCTGGATGAACACAGCAGGCCAAGCAGCATCATAGGAGCAGAGAGGCTGACGTTTCGGGCCGAGACCCTTCATCAGAAAAGGGGGAGGGGAAGGGGGTTTTGAAATAAATAGGGAGAGAGTGGGAGGCGGATAGAAGAGGGATAGAGGAGAGGATAGGTGGAGAGGAAACAAACAGGTCGAAGAGGCGGGGATGGGGCCAGGAAAGGTGAGTGTAGGTAGGGAGTTAGGAAGGGGATAGGTCAGTCCAGGGAGGACGGACAGGTCAAGGGGGCGAGATGAGGTTGGTCGGTAGGAGATGGAGGTGCGGCTTGAGGTGGGAGGAGGGGATAGGTGGGAGGAAGAACAGGTTAGGGAGCCCTCGTCCTCACGTACCACCCCACCAACCTCCGGATCCAACGCATCATCCTCCGACACTTCCGCCATCTGCAATCCGACCCCACACCAAAGACATCTTTCCCTCCCCACCTTTATCTGCTTTCCGGAGGGACAACTCTCTCCGTGACTCCCTTGTCCGCTCCACACTCCCCTCCAGCTCCACCACACCCGGCACTTTTCCCTGCAACCGCAGGAAGTGCTACACCTGCCCCCATACCTCCTCCCTCACCCCCATCCCAGGCCCCAAGAAGACTTTCCACATCAAGCAGATGTTCACCTGCACATCTGCCAATGTGGTATACTGCATCCGCTGTACCCGGTGTGGCTTCCTCTACATCGGGGAAACCAAGCGGAGACTCGGGGACCGCTTTGCAGAACACCTACGCTCGGTTCGCAACAAACAACTGCACCTCCCAGTCGCGAACCATTTCAACTCCCCCTCCCATTCCTCAGACGACATGTCCATCCTGGGCCTCCTGCAGTGCCACAACGATGCCACCCGAAGGTTGCAGGAACAGCAACTCATATTCCGCTTGGGAACCCTGCAGCCCAATGGTATCAATGTGGATTTCACAAG